GATGAGATCCCAGTTGTTGATTCTTTGTGCTAGCTCCCATGCTACTGAAGATTTGTTCATAAAGTCTTTTCCTATGCCAATGAGATGACATAATTCTTTACATAGATGACCCAAAGAATTCCACCAAAAGACCACTAGAGTTAATAACCAAATTTAAGAATGTAGCAGGATATAAAGTGAACACACACACACAAATAGCATTCCTTTACACCCATAATGAATTCACTGAGAAAGAAATTAGCAAAACAATACCATTCTCAATAGCATAAAGAAAAATTCAATATTTAACCAAGGAAGTTAAAGACTCTATAACAAAAACTACAGTACTCTGATAAAATTAAAGAGGACATTAGAAAATGGAAAACCATGCCCTGTTCCTTGATAGGGAAAATCAATATTGTCAAAATGGCCATATTCCCAAAACTCATATATAGATGTAATGCAGTTCCAATCAAAATACCAACATTCCTCAAAGAACTAGAGAAAAAAAATCCTTGATTCATATGGAACCAGAAGAGACACAAAATAGCAAAAGCAATCTTGGGTAACAAGAGCAAAACAGGAGGAATCACAATCCCAGATTACAAGTTATACTGCAAAGCTACAGTGAAAAGTAAGCATGATATTGGCACTAAAACAGACATGTGGACTAAAATAATATAATAGAAGGTGCAGAAACAACTACAGGCATAATCAGTCATCTGATCTTTGACAAAAGGACAAAAATATATGCTAGAGGGAAGGTAGCCACTTTAGCAAATGATGCTGGGAAAACTGATTATCCACATGCAGGAAATTGAATCTAGATCCACATCTCTCACATCTTTATGTGTGTAACTAAAATAAAAATGAATCAAAGAACTAAATGTTAAAACAGAAACACTTAATCTGTTGCAAAACAGGTAAAACTCTTGAAGACATAGGTGTGGGCAAGAACTTTCTGAACGTAAAACCCCAGTTGCACAGGAAATAGTTCCAAGAATCAAGAAATGGGATCATATCATATTTTTAAAAAGCTTCTGCACAGTAAATGAAACAACCAATGGGGTGAAAAGACATCTTACAGAATGGGAAAAAAGTTTGGCTAGCTATTTCTCAGACAGAGGACTCATTTCTAGAATATATAAAGAACTTTAAGAAATTAGACCTCCACAATAAAAATCCCAATAAAAAATGGGCAAGAAAATGAACAGACACCTCACAGAAGTATAAATGGCCAACAAAGTTATGAAGAAAAGCTCAATATCACTGTCCATTAGAAAAACACAAAAGGTTGAGATTCCATCTTACTTAGAAAGAATGGGTATCATCAAGAAATCAAATAATAACAAATGCTGGACAGGCTCCAGGAAAAAAGGAAACCTTGTATTTCCACCATTGGTGGAAGTATAAACTAGTGCAACCATGGTGGAAAGCAGTGTGGAGATTCTTCAAAAAGCTGAAATTAGAAATTCCATTTGACCCAGGTGTTCTCCTTCTAGGTATCTTCCCAAAGGAGTTAAAGGCATCATAGTATAGTGATACATGCATACCCATGTCTATATTAAGTATTCATAATACTTAAATCTTGGAAACAGCCTATGTGATATTTATATACTATGGAGTACTACTCTGTCATAAAAAGATAAACAGTCATTTTAGGAAAATGGACGCACTTTGAGACCACACCATTAAGTGAAATAAATCAGATATACCCGCTTAAATATCACATGATTTTTTCTAGGAGAAACCTAAAGTATAAATAAAGAGCAAAATAAAAGATAGATAATAGGAAGTAAGGAGATAGATCTTTTTCAAAAGGGAAGGGGATCAAGGATGGAGGAAGAGGGGAGAGAGAAGAGATGAGACAGGGAATGATAAAAGAAATCAAGTTGTGTTATATACACATGCCAACTTCACATCAAGAATGTAAAGATTATATACTGCAAGCGTACCCAAAAAAGGATCAAGAGATGGGGTGGGAGGAGGCAATGAAGGAAAAGTCGATGAAAAAAGCTATTCAAATGTATTGTGGGGCCGGGGATTTAGCTCAGTGGTTCCACTGCCTGTTTTGCAAACACAAGGTCCCGAGTTCAATCCCTGGTACCCTCCAAGAAAAACAATGTATTGTGTACTTCTACCAACTCCCCATAAGGAATGTAAACATTATATATTACAAACATGTACTACTAAATAAAAGAAGTCAAAATGGACACTAAATATTTGAAAAGATGTTCAACATTTCTGGCCATTAGAGAAATGAAAATTACAACAACACTGCAATACCATCTTACTCCAGAAGGAATGACTGTCATCAAGAAATCGAATAATAACAAATGCTAGAGAGGCTGGGGGAACTGGGGACCTTCTACCCTGATGGTGGAAATGTAAAGTACTACAACCACTATGGAAATCAGTGTGGAGATTCTTCAAAAAACTGAAACTGGGGCCGGGGATTTAGCTCAGTGGTTTTGCCGCCTGCTGCGCAAGCGCAAGGACCGGAGTTCAATCCCCGGTACCAAGAAAAACACAAAAAAACCCCTGAAACTAGAAATTCCACTTTACCCAGCTATTCCCGCTTCTAGTATCTTCCCAAAAGAGTTATTAAAGACATCACATTAGTTTGATCCCCAGTACCAAGAAAAAAAAAAAAGACGTCACATTACAGTGATACATGCATCCCCAAGTTTATAGATGCACAATTCATAATAGCTGAATTGTGGAAGTGGCCCATATGTTCAGCAACAGATGAGTAGGTAAAGAAAATGTATTTATACTCAATGGAGTAGTACTTTACTATAAAGAAGGATGAATCTGAGTCATTTTAGGAAGATTGATGCACCTTGAGACCATAACATTAAGTAAAATAAATCAGAACTACAGGCTTAAAAATCGTATGGTTTCATGGACAGGGGATTTAGCTCAGAGGCACCCTGCCTGCCTTGCAAGCACAAGGTCCTGAGTTCTACCCTGGTACCAAAAATTGTGTGGTTTCTCTCTCTCTCTTTTTTTTTTTGGTACCAGAGATCGAACTCGGGACCTTGAGCTTTTGAGGCAGATGCCAGAACCACTGAGCTAAATCCCCAGCTGTATGGTTTCTCTTATATGAGAATCCACAACATAAATAATCAAAGAGAAAAACAAAAGATAGACAATAGGAAATAGATCTTCAGCAAATGAGAAGGGAACTGAAAGATGGAGGTTGGAGAGACCTATGGAAGTGGCTATCAAAAGAATTAAAATGTGTCATGTCCATGTAACAACTGTCCACAAATATATTCATTATGTACCACAAACATGTACTAATAAAAAACATAAGCTGTTCCATTTAGTGCTCTTATTTAGTTGAGATTTATACATCTTGTTCTGCAAGGACATTGATTTGTATTTTTCTTTCTTTTTTATTGCTATGTGTTTGTGATACATAATAATTACATTTGCCTTGAGGAATTGGTATATACAATCTTGATCATTTTCTTTCACTTCCCTCTCTGCCCCGTTCTCCAGATACCCTGCCCTATCTCCAAAAAGTTTACTTTTTTCTCTTGTGAGTTCTAGTTACTCTCATAGCCTGAAGTGGCTGCGATGTTAAAAAAAAATCGTTCAAAGGATGGTGTTATCCAAGACAAGATCTGGATTACATGAAATAAATAATGCTCTTAGGAACGTCTGTAGGGAGCTGCCAAATACTTGAAATAATGACAATTTTCTGGGGATAGAGGTTTTGACAGCAGCACTTCCCTGAAGTGTTCCCTCGGTTTCTGGTAGTCACAGGTTTTATAGCACAAACCCCTGAATTTCAAGGCCATTACACAACTGGACAGAAAATATGAGTAGTAAATTTCCACAAACTCCCTTTTCTTCCCAAGGTTCACCCATTCGTTTTCTTCTCTTCAAAAAACTCACAGGTTTTTGCAAAGCTTTGATTTAGTTTCAGAATCCTGAAAATGGTTGTTTTGACCAGATTGCTAACATGGTTATGGGTTTCATAGAGGGTCAGATTTTAACCCATTCCTATCCCCTATCCCCTATTCTGAACTGATTTCCCTGCATTGTAGAGGTTCATTACCAAATTGAATAACTGTATTTCTTATCCTGTGCCATTATTTTCACTTTAATATAAATGGACGAGTTCTTTCATGTGTTTTACAGCTGATATATATATATATATAATATATATGGGGGTACCGGGTACCAAACTCGGGACCTTGCGCTTGCGAGGCAGGCAGAGGAACCACTGAGCTAAATCCCCGGCCCTACAGCTGATGTATTTAAATGTTAGTGAGTTAAAAGTAAGCATCTCAGTTACACCCTTGACGAAAATATTGTTGTAGGGCTGGAGTTGCAATTCTCTGGCTATGCCGTGAGCAGAGGGATGGGGCATTGTAAAATTAACCTGGGAAAGAAAATTCCTTCCAATTGTTTCAAAGTCCACTAAAAAAGCAAGAGTTCTGACGGGCCACACCAGCGCTGCAGCGTCCTAGAGGACGGTCCCTCCGGGCTCCCAGCCCTTACAGCCCGGAGGGTGTCTCACTGCGCGGCTTCCTCCGGGTGAAGGAAACAGCTAGAATTTGCTGGAAGAGCTGACCTCCTGCCCTGGAAACCACCGCGCCCCCTGCTGGCGGTCCTCCGCCGAGCTGAGCGACGGAAGCAGATCCTGGCTTCCGGTCAGGCAGGCGCCCGTTGTCCTGCCGCAATGAAGCCGAGCAGCCTCTCCCTCCTGGCCTTGACCATCTTGCTTTGCCTCCACGTGGCCCAGCCTGGAGTACGGAAGAATGGAAGTAAGGCCAGGCGGTCTAGGGTGGGCTTGCGGGAGGGAAGCGTTTCCTCTCAAGAGCCCATGGAAAGAGCTGGTGTTGAAGCCCCAAAGCACCTGATCAGTACCTATGTGGCTTTTTTTTTTTTTTGCTTTCTTTCCCCCTTTTCCTCAGCTAAGTGGAAACCTGGATTTTGCCCAGAGTTTTTTCTTGAGTGTGCTTTCAACGGATTCCCTGGGTGCCGGAGTGATCGAAGTTGCAAGGCGGGCAAGAAGTGTTGCTACTACAATTGCCGACATCAGTGTGTAGAACCAGCGTTGTTTCTGGATTGAGGTGAGTAGCCCCAGAGGTGCTGTTCTGAGCTGCCTGGAACTTTTCCTCAAACCATTTGTCCTAGAGCGAGATGTCTGTGCCTCTAGGAGTCATGGCGATCAGAGCTTTCAGTCAACATTTAAAAATCAGTAGCTTTTCTATATATCAGTAATGAATTAGCTGAGAAAGACATCAAGAACACAATCCCATTTACAATAGCTTTAAAAAACAAAACAAAACCCTAGAGGTCAACCTAAGCAAGGAGGTGAAAACTTCTGCAGTAAAAATTATAGAGCATCGAAGTAAGAAATTTTAAAAGGTGAAAAGATCCCCCTTCCCTTGTGCATGGATTGGCAGAATTAATGTGTTAAAATGGTCATTTACTAAAAGCAATCAACAGATTCCGTGCACTCCCCTTCAAAATACCAACAGCATTCTTCAAAGAACTAGAAAAAAATAATCCTAAAATTCATACAGAAACACAAAAGACAGAGAAATAGACAAAGCAATCTAGAGCAAAAAAAAGGAAGGATGAAGTCATCACAATACCAGATTTCAAATTACAGTATAAAGCCAGAGTAACAAGAACAGCATGGTACTGACACAAAATTAGACACATATCCAGTGGAACAGAGCAGAGGACATGGACACAAACCTACACAACTACATCCATCTGATTCTTTTATTATTATTATTATTATTATTCATTAAGTTTATTGGTACATTTTAGGTATACAATATGATGACATTCATCATTGGGAATTTGTACCTTTAGATGATGCATCTTGGTTCTTATTTTTTCCCCATTCCCCTGCCCTCCCTTCAACCCCTCCACCCCTCCTTATTTACAAAAGCTTTGTTTCCATTTTTTCATTTTCTCATATTTATTCCTTCTCCTTTTTTCCTTCCCCCATCCCTCCCCTTTCCCCTTCCCCTTTAGTCCTTTTCTTCCTATTTCACATTATCTATTGTACATTTTGATCCTCATTTACACTTTCCGTTTCCCAAACCAAAGAAACTATTTATTATTTCCATCTGATTCTTAACAAAGGACCCTCAAAATACACATTGAACAAAAGACTGCCTCTTTAACAAATGGTGCTAGGAAATCCTGATACCCCCTTGTAGATTAAAACTAGATCCCTGTCTCACCCTGTACAAAAACCAATTCAAAATAAACCAAAGACCTAAGTATAAGATATGAAACTTTGAGCTAGGTGTGATGGTGCAAACCTGTAATCCCAGCACTCTGGGAGGCTGAAACAGGAGAATCACAAGAAATGAAACTGAAATTGCTAATGAATAAATAAATGAATGGATGAAACACTTGAAGTGATAGCTACAGAAAAAGACTTCCTAAATAGGACTCAAAAAGCCCAAGAAATAATAGCAAGAATCAGCAAATGTGACTACATCAAATTTAAAAGTTTCTGCACAGCAAAGTGGGAGATAGTCTTTGCCAACTACACCAGTGACAAAGGACTAATATCTAGGATATATAAAGAACTCAAAAAACTTAACATCAAAAAATCAAATATCCCTATTAGTAAGTGTGGAAGTGAACTAAACAGACATTTCTCAAAAGAAGAAGTAAAAATGGCCAATAAGGATATGAAAAAAAAGTTCAACATTTTAGTATTAGGGAAATCCAAATCAAAACTAAATTGAGATTCCATCTCACCTCTATCAGAACGGCGCTCATCAAGAATACAAAAAGTGATACACACTGATGAGGATGTAAGGGAAAGGAACTTTTCTAAACTACTGGTAGGAATGTAAGTTAGTACATCCATTATGGAAAGCAGAATGGAGTTTTCTCAAAAAGTAACTAAAAATAGACCTAACATTTGATCCAGCCATACCACTCCTTGGTATATACTCAGAGGAATTAAAGTCAGCATACTATAGTGACACCTGCACACCCATGTTCATGGCAGCACAATTCACAATAGCTAAGATACAGAACCAGCTTAGTTGCCAATCAGCAGATGAGTGGATAAAGAAAATGTGATATACGAGGCTGGGATTTAGCTTCATGGCACTGCACCTGCCTCGCAAGCACAAGGTCCTGAGTTCGATCCCTAGTACCAAAAAAAAGAATATGTGATATGCACAATTCATTATAAAAAATAATAAAACTTTGTCATTTGCATAAAATGGATAGAATTGGAAATTGTCATATTAAGCAAAATAAGCCAAATTCAGAAACAACAGTATTGCATGTTGTCCCGATGGTAATATGTGGCAATCTAAAAACAACATGGAAGGAGACGGAAGACTATTATTAGACCAAAGGAAGGTAAGGGGGAGGGGATCTAGGAACAGTAATGAAGGGGATAGACATGATCAACATATACACACTGAAACCCAACATTCTTTAAATAGACACCAATTTTAAATAGAACCTAAAAATAACACAAGAAATAAATAATGAATTGAGATACTTTCAGAGACTTGATTCTAGACAAGAAGGAGGAAGGACCCAACAAGTCACCTTCCTCCGAAAAAGCACCATTCACTTAGTGGAATGAATGTCATGCTTTTCCTCTGTATGAAAGGAACATTTGGACAGGATTGGCTCTCCACTCCTCACTGTTACTGATTGGTCATTATTATTATTTTCCATTGCATTTTTTCCCAATTTGCAATGAAGAAGCATTTTCTGCTTCACAGTTAAACTGTGAGGAAAGGGATTATGAGGTCCTAATTCTTTACGTCGCCATGCCTGGAGTCCCTGACCTTCAGTCCCTAATTCCTTGGCAGTACATCTCCGTGCTCTTGGGAGGGGAGAACCTAGCAAGATGAAGGCCACTGTGGTCTGGAGATGACAAACCGTGTCCCCAGCACATTTTTCACAGTCTCATGTCTCTGGTGTTTCTCTACTTAGGTGGAAACTTCTTAACCGGGCCTGAGAAGACTGATACTCTGGGCTCAGACTTGGATAACTGGACACCAGTGTTTTCCCTGCTTCTCCCAGGCCTTCTTGTTATCAAGAATGAAATCCATTCAAGAGTTAAATGCATATTAACCCAAAGACAGAGAAATAAAGCCCCTTTTCTGTTGCTATAACAAACTGCTTAAGGGTGAATACTTCCTAAAGAAAAAGGTTCTAGAGGTTCAAGAGCATGCCCAAATACCTGCTCACCTCATGGCAAATGGCACAGTGGTGAGAGCACATTTGAGTGTGGAGAGTGGTGTATGCAGAATAAAGATTCAAGGGAAGCACCAGGATTCCTTATAATAACCTATTTTCAGGAGAATTAACCCAGTGTCACAATACCTGCATCGATCACTTCTAAAGGTGTTATCCCCGTAACCTAATTATCTTCCACAAGCCCCCACCTCCTAAAATCTACCGTCTCTCAATATTGACACACTAGAAATCAAGCTTCCAACACATAAACCGTGGGGGACAGACTCAGACAATATTCAAATCATATCACAGTGTATATTTAATTTTTTTTTTTTTTTTTGGTGCCAGGGATCGAACTTGGGTCCTTGCACTTGCGCAGCAGGCGGCGAAACCACTGAGCTAAATCCCCGGCCACACATTGTATATTTAAAACTACATGAGAATCTGTAAGACTTCTGAGTCTCTCATTCTGTCTTTCCCACCCCTCACAACATCACATGCCCTCCTGGGTGATCCCTTATGATATATAAAATATATGGAGTTAATGTTTCACATTAGATTTTATTCATTTTTGCACTTAGAATTTTGTGATATATTTCTCTTTTACAGTGTCTCCTGACACCCAGTTTCTCCATAGGTCAGATTTAAGGGACCCTGTAGAGTAAAATTTTTGTGTTAGGATCTTACAAAAGTGAAACATGTTCTCCTGGGAAGAATGAACAAGTCACTTTTGCTAGTTTCTCTGGTACTGGTGCCAGTGGTCTTTCCATTTGTGGATCTACAGCTAGATTTGAAATTTTGGACTGGAAATGGAGCAGGACCTAACTTAGGTCCAGGGCATTTTATGTCCTACAGAATGTAGGCTATAATAAACTAGGAAGAGGAATTTTTTCTTTTTATTTTATGAAAAAATAATTTCATAATGTCTTAGTTACTTTTCTCATGGCTGAGACAAAATACCTGACACCCAAAGTTAAAGGAGGAAAAGTTTATTTGGCTCACAGTTTGTAGGTTTCAGGCCATAATTGGCTTTAAGGCAGGGTGGCTTGGCAGAGGGGCACTGCAGAGGAGAAACAGTTCATGGCAGGGAGAAGACAGCAAGTAGCAAGCAAGGGAATTTAGAAAGCATCTTTCTGCCCTTTTCATATTGTATCCAGACTACCAGGATTAGGGTGGAGCCAAACCAATCAGTGGACTGATTTAGTAATCACACACCCTTAATTCCAGCATCACACACTCTAGATCCAGCCACCTCTGAAAAAGCCACATCTATGACCACATGAGGCCTTGGAGGGACATCTAGACCCAAACCATAACAAATAACCAAGTAATAAGAGAATAACAATAGTTATTAATTGTATATTATCTTCAAAGTAGTTACTTGATGCAAGACATAAACCAAAAGAATGTTTACAAAAAAAGAAACAATAATACAAGCTTTCTTTTCAAAATACTAAGATAAACTTTTAGTATAAATGAAAGAAATTGACATATATATTGAAATATTTTTAAAACAACAGACTATGTATTTTGGAAAAGTATTTGAACTTCTCCCTGCTTATTTATCTCTCTACTATTTTGTTCTTTACCTTTGTCTATACATTTTTTTCATAAAATAAAGAAGTTCCTCTTCCTAATTTATTATAGCCTACATATATACAACGTTTTTCATATAAGAGAAACCATGCCATATTTGAGCTTGTGTGTCTGACTTATTTCACTTAACATTGTGTTCTCAAGCATGTAAACTAGTACAACCACTATAGAAATCAGCCTGGAGTTTCCTAAAAAAACTTAAAAGTAGAAATTCCATTTGACCCAGCTGCCCCCCTCCTAGGTATCTTCCCTAAAGTGTTAAAATCATCATATTATAGGGGTACATGCGCAGCCATGTTTATAACAGCATAATTTATAATAGATTGATCTTAGAAACAGCATATATCTCCATGAATAGATGAATGGATAAAGAAAATGTGATATTTATACACAATGGAGAATTATGCTGCCATAAAGAAAGATAAACTTGAGGCGTTTGTAGGTAAATGGAAGCAACCTGATGAAGGAGAATTTTTATCTGTGGTTCAGCCAAGCTACTATGACTCTTAGCATTATCAACTTCCCTAATAATGAAATTGTTTTTGCCTTAAATTGCTTCAGTTTAGAACTCTATGCCTCCATCTTCCTTAAGGACCACACAGTAGCAGAGGTCTATGATAGTGGTCTTCAAAAATTTTGTCTGACAAACGTCATATACAAATGATGTATATCTGAAAAATGACTTGTTCTCTAGAATGTTTTCAATTGCTATCTAATAATTTTATAATAATTGCATATAATAATCACAAGAGATAAAATTTTAGGACATGATGAATATTGTTGTCACTTATATAAAATTGGTATCTTACTCTTCAATATTTCTAGTGAAATCTAATTCCCATGCTCATTTGATGTTAATATCTATTAGGGTAAAGGAAAAGTGCCCTTTCTTTGTTTTATCTTCCACTTCTGTCTCCTTTCCTATCATTTCCTGAACCATTCAAATCAGAAGCGTGGGTTAATTTGGGACCCCCAAAAAGGAGATGCTCAGACATGATTAGGTGACCAAGAGCATGTTAGGGAAAACATCTGTGAGGGAAATGGGATAAAGCTAAAGCAAAGAAAGCCATCCGATCATGATGCAGGGCTGACTGCTGTGAGGGAGGAGGGAATGAGAGAGGCTTCTGCAGTTAGAGAGAATCTGACTGAAGTCACCTATCAGAGGTACCCCATGTGTAACCCCATGCTGCCAGAGAGTCTGGGCAGAGCCGAGTCACTGGCTGGGAGCACCTGGCATGAAGTACGGCCTCTGTGCAAACGTGGTGACAGACGCAGAGAGCAGGAGCTGGGGTGTCTGTCTGAGCGGTGCATCTCGGTACCTTCCACTGCCCTCTGCCCTGTGCTGCACAGCGTTACTTCTTCAGGTGTGGTGATGAAAGCTGGTTAGTGTCAACTCTGAATTCTTTCTTCTTTCATGTCCAGTGTTTCATGCAGAGTAGGTGCTTTTTGGTGAGCATTAATAGGTAATACAAATCTTCATACTAAGTGGCCACTCCCAAGTTTGTTCTTCCCTATGCCAGATATCCTTCCTTTCAATTTTCAACTCTTTCACCTTCCAAGGCCCTGTTCTACTATTTAGTTTTTATTATTATTTAGGCATGGCAAGGCTAACACATCAGAACATAACCACAACTGAAAAGAGCATTGGTTACGTTTACAAATCTGAAGAGGAGAGGCTACACCACAGGGGACCATGTGGAGGAGCACTGTAGCCCGGAGGCAGAGCAGTGAGGGAACAATGTGGGCAAGTCTTTGCCGTGGTTTCTGCAGCAGGTACAGGTGAGGCAGGTAAGTGTCTCAGGACTGGCTGGATTCGACAATTTCCAGTCTCTCAGGCAGAGCCTTTTCTTTGGTACCTCATCCTAAGGTGCTTGGGACAGGAGTATAGTGGCCCAGAATATAAGAGTTCAATAAAAGAGGTCTTGGAAAATAGGCTCTGGAGGTTAATATATCATCAATCCATGATGATTTTGCTGTTCCTTATTGGGAAAACACAGAAGGAGTGTAGGGGCAGGGGCCTGTAAACAGGGGAAAGAATAGAATCGCGGACTCATTAGATCTTTTGGCTAATCTGACTAAAAGAACTTATAACTGAGAAATTCCCTCTGGGAAATAAGTCAAGAACAGAAGTAGAGAGAGGGAAAGACCAGATAAAGAAAGGCACCAAATGGCCTTGGGACCCGCACCAAGTGAGCAGAGAAAGAGCTGACAGGCAGAGTACAGAGAGAGCCAGGTACACAAAGCCAAGCAGAGTCCCTCTCCCCCTCCAGCACGATCCAGGGGAGACCTAAAGGGATGGACGCGCACCTATGCATGTCTATATTTGTTTTCACTCTAGGATCACTATATTCATCATGTAATTATAGACTACAATAAGTATCCACACACAACACCCCTTACTAACCCTAAACTAACCGTGAATAAGGTACCCCCTTGCCAACTATCTGCCCACCACAAAGATGAGGCCTTGAAAGGTAAGTCAAAGACAAATAGACAAGACAAAGAAGCTGCACACAGAGCACCGGAAGAAAGGAAGTCAGGCAGAGGCGCTGGAAGCCAATCCAGTTATGGCATGTTGGGGGCCGGGGGAGGGGTTCCTAAAAGCAGCCAAGAACAGGGCCATGGGTGTTCCACCTCTGCACGGTCCCCCACCCAGATTCTTAACAGGGTAGCCGTCTATCATCTCCACTCCCCCTTTTCCTCCACAAATAAAGTGTCTTCCTTTCCTTAAACTTTGTCCCTCTAATTTTTTACCGGGCTGAGTTTATGATCCCAGTGGGCTGCTCAGACAGCAGAGCGCAGTGCTCATCCCCCACATGCAACAGGAAGAAGATTACTAGTTCAAACACATTCATCTGTCGTCACCACACTAAAACCGAGTCAGCAAGATATCTGCTCCTCCAGAAGTGACATCGTAGGAACCATACAGCATCTGCAGTGGGTTCCTGACAAGACAGAAGAGCTTGCAAGTCTTCAAAACTATGAAAGAGAAGTTGAAGAGTTAACATGAGGAAGCAATGTGGGACATTCTGAAGAACCAATCATCTGTTCTATTTAACAATAGCACAGAGGGAAAGAGGGGGTAGTGAGAAGGAGGGAGGGAGGGAGGAAAGAAGGAAGGGCAGAAGGGAGTTGGAAAGATTATCCTAAATTAAAAGAAACTTCACAGACATTACAACCAATGTCATGTGTGCACCTTGTGTGGATTCTGATTCAAGGACACAAAGTATACAGTGTCATTTTAATGACAATAAGGAAAATAGCAAATAAGAATATGAGGTGATGTGAAAAAAGTGCTGTTAATTTTTTAGGTATGACAATGGTGTTATGTTAGAAAATAAGAAATCTTTATTTCTTAAAGATCCATACTTAAGTATTTAAGGGTAACATGTAAGATGTAGTCAGGTTTGCTTTAAAATACTCCACCCAAAAAAGAGTGAAAGCACATTCATCTATCTTTACAACATGAAGGAAACCTTGTAAAATGTTCATCACTGAATCTCAAAGAATTTATTGGGCTTCTAAAATTAGTTACTGGTCGTTTACGTCCTTCTCAAATTTTTAATGATACAATTTATGATAAAAAAAAAAACTGGATTTATTTTTTGAATGTAACAAAATGACTATCAGGCTCATTTGGAAGAATGAAATGCTTATGACATGGAAAATTAAAAATGTATGTTAGTGAACAGTAATGGATACCACCAATCATTAAATCATTTTATAAAACTATAATTAGAACAGCAATACTGATACAAGAGTAAACAAAGGAAACAGAAAACCCAGAAACAGCTCCTGAGATGTAAAAGGCTTAAGTTTTTAATAATAAAGTTCTGATTTCTAATTAATAGCAGAAGTTTGAATTGTTCAGCAAGTACTTAGGGGCAATTTCTTAATATTTTTTTAAAAGATATTTTCTATCTTACACACTATGCCAAAATAAATTTCAGATGAATTAAACAATGTATTTTCAAAAATATATTAAGAAAATGAAATATTCTCCAAAAGAAAATACAGTGAATATTTATCTGACATTGGATTCAAAAAGCCCCTTTAGCATAAAAATAAAGAGAAACTATAAATTAAAAGTCTGATTTGATTACATCCAATATTTTAAATTTTGGAACAAAGCAAAAAGAAAAGGAAAGAAATATTTCCAATAGAGGACTAAAATAGGCACTTCTCAAGTTCATCTCAGTCCTCAGCAACATTCTATAAGATAAATGCTATTGTCTCTATCTCTGTTTTACAGAATAAACTAAATTTTAGATAAGTTAGTCATACGGCTAGAACTTGATGGCACTAAGGTTAAAAACTAGGTCTGTCCAGGCCAGGGATGTAACTCAGTGGCACGACCCCTGCCTGACAAGCTCAAGGTCCTAAGTTCAATTCCTGGTACTAAAAAAAAAAGAGAGCAAAATGCAAAAACAGGGAATTCACAAGAGAAAATATACAATGTACCAACTCCACACAGAGAATGTAAACATCATGTATGGCAAACATGTACTAATTTAAAAAGGAAGAGGATCCAGAAATGGATGGAATGGAGATGGAGGGGAGAGAGTTAAAAAAAATGAAGATGTATCATGTGCCAATTTCCTATAAGGAATGTAAACACTATGTACTACAAACATGTACTAACAAAAAAAAACCCCCCAAAAAACAAAGCTGATCTTGTATGTTTTGGCACACAAAATACCTCTTAGCCATCAGAAAACATGTTTACAGAACATTTCATATCACAGGAAAATGTGATAAAATAACATTAATTTGAAAAGCATTTCTTCAATAAATATGTGTAATTTATAATCAGGAAAGAACAAACCACTCATGTTTCCCTCCAAAACAAAGCTGCCAAGGAGGTACCTGAATTCCAAAAGTAACATCAGATCACAGAAGACAGAGCGAGCCTCTCCTCCTGAGACCTTAAACAACAGCAGGAGGGATTAAATTAAACGCAAGGAAGAATTTCCCGTCTGCCTGCTCTGGGCTGAATGACTGAGTAACACAAGCCGAGCCCTGGAATGTTACTTTCCTTTCTTAGGGTCAGGTGAAGGAAGTATTGTCCTTTCAATACCCAGAAACTAGGGAGGCACTAGCCGGAAGTCCCAGCTCAGTCTCAGGATGAGGTGTGTCCTTGGGCCAGTCCTCTCCCTTCTCTGGCTCACAGTTTCCTCATCTTGAAAATGGGAGGGCTGGGAAGAAAGGCTTGGACTGCCCCAGTGCTAACAGAGTGCTCTGTTCAGTGGAGTTTCCAATTAGGGCCCTGTCTCAGCTGCTTCTCATTCATCAAATGCCAACGTCACAGAGGTGAAATCCAAGGTAGGAATCCCTGAGTAAGATGATATTCTTTGTTCAGGATCCCTTGTGGCCAAAGAAGGGTTCCCACTGGCACTTATATCTGCCATGGCCGGCACTTTCAGGCAAACCCAAAGGCCATCCCTGACCACCAAGCCAGCACAGGCAGAAGACAGTTCTATCAAATGCCATTGGAGGTGATCTCACCAAAGGGTGAGTTTTCTCTCTCCTGTTCAGAGGTGCTCAAGGGAAGAGACCAGAGCTGGCCTCACTCATCATGCCAAACTGGCCTTGCTTCTCTGGCAGGAAACTCTGACCCTAACTCTACCACAGTCTCCCTTCCCAGGCATCCAGAACTCTGTAAAGCCCTCTTTGCCATTCCAACCTGACTTCTGTCCCCTACATAAGACATTGCTAGAGCTTCAAGACATCAGAGAACTAGGAAAGCAAGCACCTGACTTCCCCTTCACCCTCTATACCAGAGGTGGCGAACCTGTGACACGTATATCATTTGTTTTTCTTTTAAGACAAGAGATGTCAATGTATGAGTTGTTTTTTCTAAACTAAAACCTCAGTGTTCAGCTTTAATTGCAGGGTTGGCACTTTGTGATAAGTAAGTGGGTTTTGGGTTGCAGTTTGGGCACTCATTCGAAAGGCTTCCCCATCACTGGTCTATACTGTCAATCAATTCAAACTCAGAAGCTCTAGAAGTAAAAAAGATTTACTTGGGGTCCTAAGAATTACAATTCAAGAGACACCAGTTCAGAGAAGTCAGATTCAGTGTTCTGAAGAAGACAGGCAATATGGGGACTTAAATGGGTAAACAGTGCTGATTTATTACAAAGCAAAAAAAACTCTTTGTAGGACATTTCTATTGAGTGCTGAGAAAGAACAGGACTAACTGATCAAAGAAGATAATAAAAGAATGTATATAGTTGGCTAAAATGTCCATAAAACAAGAGTCTGACAATCTTGTCCTATGCATCATGAGTCTCTGGGCACAATAGAATGTGGTCATTCCAGATGCCTGCAGTCAAAGGTGACTTCCCAGGCAACAGCCTGAGATGTGTATAAGCCCAACCGCCTTACTGGCCTCCCAAGTCCATTGTTAAAAATTCTCCCAATGATGCTTTCATTGTGATTTTCCCTTTATTTTCACAACACAGGTGAGAAAAACTGAAGTCAAAGAGAGACAAGACTTGCCCAACATCACATGCCGGTTGAGATACAGGCAGAACTTGATCTAAGTCCTCCAACACGCAGGACTTGTACCACTTTGTCTTTAGTTCTTGCACAAGGATCTTGCCCTGAGGTGGAGCCAGGAGGAGGCAAACAAGTGCCACACGATCCACCCCTCTTCCTCCTCTGACTCAGATCCTCTGGCCTCCCCAGGGCCACAGATGTTAATCTGGGGATCGTATTAGGTGTTGGCAGCAGAAACATGAGGATCCAGAGCATCCTCCTCCTGGTGGCCCTCCTGGCTTTGGGGAGCCAAGTGCCTGCTGCCTCTGGCAGGAGAAAGGGAGGTGAGTGCGGCTAAATCCCTCTGTTCCGGGGGGCCGAGTGGTTTCTATCTCTTATCTCTGGGGATAGTGGAGTTTGGGAGAGGACGGATAATGCAGTGTGTGTGTGTGTATACGTACAATCCCACTGCTCAGAGCTTCCAGACCATTTTTTTGGGTCCGGCTCTGTACCTATCCACATGTGTGTGTTTGTACGTTAATGTCTTTCTGCCTGTTTCTTAGTGCCTGCCTGCACATTTCAGTGTGTGCAAGGTTGTGCACATCTGTCTCTCTTTCTTTGTGCCTAATTGTGTTTCATGGAATGGCTGCATCCATGTGGATCTGAGGTTGTGTACCCATCCATGTGTGTCCATGTGTGTCTTTGCCTCTGGGTATGGCAGGAGAGAACCTGCCCATATGTACCATTCTGTGGTCATATTCATGGAGTTGTGTCTTTGCTGGCCTCCTAGGGTTCTATTCCCATCTTTGAAGGGATTTGGGAGTTGAGTAGGAAGTGGGGCTCCTGAGATCTAGGATCCGTTGGAAGGAATCTGCCTCTGCTTCTCTTCTCCATTGCTTTCCTCCCAACCCATTCCCACAGCTGGCAAGGCTGGGGCTGGCTTGTTGACAGGTGAGGTAGGCGAGGGTGCTAGAGTAACTAGACAGGTGCCTCCTGATCAGGTGAGGTACTGCCTCCTTCCCCTTCTGGGGCTGGAACACTCTGGCCTACATTCACCTGTGCGGCCCTGGCCTGCTGGGGAGGAGGGCCTGGGCTTGTGAGCTCAGGGTTAAACCCTGAACCTATGACGGTGTTCATGGGCCCCTCACATGTCCCTCTACCCTCCCAAATTCCCCACATCCCCCACCAAGAGAGGCTCATCAGAGCAGGGGCTCCTTCCCAGGCTTAGCCATCTTCCTCCAGCAGGGGGCAGCAATTTAATTTAAACTGGCCCAGCCTAAGGACTGAAGCTGACCTTGAGCGCTCACTCACTGGGTGAGCAAGGTGTTACCTGCTTTGTGCAGTCAGTGCCCAGGCAGGGGCAGAGCAGGGAAGGTGACACAGAGACATCAACACAATCCTGCTAAAGTGGGCTCCTGGACCTTTTCTCTGATGCTGGATTGAGTTGAAGGACCAGGACCCGGCCAGTCCCATCCCTGCAGCTCAAAAGCAGTCAGAGCAGGAGGTCACAGAGGTCAGAAGGAGCCAGACCCATGTGAGTGTGGGCCAGTCACTGGCCCCGGCAGCCCTTGGTTTCTGCCTTCCAGAACCTCGACAAGAAGAGTGGTTAGCTAAGGACAAAGCATTCTGTAGCCATCTGGAGGAATGCCTCACAGAGAGCTAATCCCTGTCCCCAAACCCGCCGCAGGAAACAGCGAGGAGTACCACAGCGCAGGTACAGCTGACCATCCCACTCACAACAGCTGGCAAGGTCCAACACTGGGTCTCCTTTCAAAACCCTTCACTGCAAATAGTCGCCCAGCCCCTGTTGTTGTGTACCAAGGGCTGTGCTGGGACTCACGGTGGGTAACAAGTCTTACAGCCTCCGGCCAAGAGAAGTGCAGGTAACTGCAGAGTCAAAAAGTCTCCAGAGGTGGGGTGGGGCTGACCTAGTGGATGCAGGATGAGGAAGCAGGGTCTTCTGGGGATGTGTGGTTCCAGCTGACCAGGTGAAGAGTGTGGGCACCGGGCAAAGGGTGCCATCAAAGCAAGAGCTCTGCAAAGAGGACTGGTGTGGGGCAGATCAGGAGCCACTAAGTGGTACAGCAAGAGTGGTAGAGGATGAGGCCAGAGAGATGGGCAGGATCAGACCATGTACAACCTTACTGGCCACCGTGGAGATTCTTTCTTTCTTTTGAGACAGGTTCTCGCTATGTAGTTCAGGCTGGCCTTGGACTTACTATATAGCCCAGGCTATCTTTGAACTCACAGAAATCTTCCTGCCTCAGCCTCCTGAGTGCTGGGATTACAGGTGTGTACTACTATGCCAGCCACACTGGCTTCTGAACTTCACTTTTTTCTATTCTTTATGCCGTCTGAATCTCAAACCCACCCCGGGAGAGGGGAAAAAAGCTCCCCAGGTCAACACTGACCTGCTTCCTTCCGGCTACCACATGTGGGAGTTTTCTTACAGAGAAATATGGGGGCTGCCCCCCAGACGATAAGCCCTGCCTCTCAGTGCCTGACCAGTGCACAGGTGACAGCCAGTGTCCCTCAGGCAAGAAGTGCTGTTCCCAAGCTTGTTTCCGCCAGTGTGTCCCCAGGGTCTTAGGTAAGTGCCCCGCTCCACCTTGCTGACAACCCAAGCCCCAAGCCCCAAGCCCCAAGCCCCAAGCCCCAGGGCTGGCAGAAACAGTCAGAACTTACCAGGCCCTTGTGTTGCAGTAAAGCGAGGCAGCTGCCCCGAGGACCGGCTGCGCTGCCTCAGCCCGGCGCAGCACCTGTGTAACCATGACCATGACTGCCCACGAGGGAAGCGGTGTTGCCCAGGTGCCTGTGGCCGGGACTGCCGAAACCCTGCCAGAGGTATGACTCCTAGGGTGCAAGGGTCCCTCTAGAGCCCAGCTCAGAGATTGTTTTCCAGCTCAACCAGCTTGGCAGGATGTCTCCCTCAAAGGCAGGGCCTCCCAAACTGTGGAAATGGATAGGGTGGGAGGAGTCTCATTAGGATGTCAGAGGCCCTGGGGATTCCCTGTCCTCCACATCCCTACACGGCTCTGGGCCTCAGTTTCCCCTTGGAAGGAGGCTGTAGTGTCCTCCCTTAGTAGCTATTAGTGCTGGCTGATGGGGCCTGGATGGGAAGATCAAGCCTGGGACTCAGATCCCTTTTTGAAAGGGGGGGTTAACCTTGTTTTCTCTCTTCTCAGGCTAAAATCTGGTTTAGGATCACGGCTCTGCACCCCCAGCAGGAAGAGCCAAGGACCTGTGTACCCAAAGAGAATTATCTCTGCCAGGATCCAACCAGATAGACACTGACCCATCGTGACTTCTCTGCAACACATTTGCCCTGGCTTCTCCTCCTGGAAGTCCAGGTCCACAGCCTGACCTCCAAGGCACTCCTCTTTATCACCCTAGGACTCATGCTGAGCTTCCCACCCTTCTGAATAACCATTTTCACATCTCTCTGCACATTCTGTTTCCGCCGCCTAAAATGCCCCACGCAGGTGGGCCCAGGCTTGTGGAGCCCAGACCCCAGAATGCAAGTCCTAGCAGAATCTCTAAACATCAGGTCATTCACACACACATACACACATACTTCCACAATTTTCCTCTGTTGCACGCTGCCTGTACTACTATTTACTTAATGCTTCCCTTTAAATGATTCACTTTGGTATATAACTGTATTTCAATAGAAAACAATACTCAAGATCACTGGCCACAAATAGAATGTAAATGTAAAAAGAAATACAATGAAAACAGCTCAGTTCCATTAAATTAAATCATATCCAATTAAGCAATATTATTAAACTCTAGATAGATGAGGCCACCTGCCAAGACTGAGCCTGGAGGTTGCTCTCTGTCTTTAATAAATGGAGATTAGTAAAGGTTAAAGAGATGTCAAAGACGCAGAGCTCTAAAATGGCTCTAAACATGTAATCAGGATCGAAAAGTGTAACTGTCTCAAAGAGTCAATGTTGTATAGTGTTGCATCCAAATACTCACCAGGACCATTTTGTTTTTTATTTTATTTTATTTTATTTTTTGGTACCGGGGATCAAACTTGGGACCTTGCACTTGAGGCAGGCAGTAGAACCACTGAGCTAAATCCCTGGCCCCACCAGGACCATTCTGGATTGCAACCACAGTTTGGGAAATGTTGTTTGAGCAGCTGGAGTGCCATGCTAATGGTGGGTCCATCCCCAGTACTGGGCTACACCTCACTTGCCTCAGTTCCCCTAGGGCACAGTCTGTAGTCAGGGCTAGTGTTTCTTTTTTGGAGAAGGGTCAGTGAAAGGAATGACAACCATTCCAAAAGACACCCCTGGACCCAGATATCTGCATTCCTGACTCTTCTTCTCCACCAACACTTGGTTTGGGAATGGAAAGAGCCGGGCACGTTCCCCCCTCTTTCTTTGTTCTGCTATGGACTCAGCATTGTGTTGTCAACTGTGGAGATGAACTTGGAAATCCTGGGCCTTCTTTCCCTCTTCTCTTGACCTCTCCTTGTGATCCTACATGAGTTCTTCACCACTCCAGGCTTCTGTTTGCACAGAAAGAATTCCACTTCCTCCCTAGTTGCCAAAATCCTTCTCCGGGGATTCAAATGTCTGAATGGTTGACTCAAAGTAGCAAATGCTAATTAAATGGATACAAGGTGAGGCCTGGTAGAGGAAGAAAGAGCTCTTTGGGAGTCACTACCTGTGAACTTGATATTTCTTTACTTCCTCCTGGGCCTCAGTTTCCTAGTCCATAACCTCAGGGAGTTCACAGATAATTTAGAGGACTTTATTCTTTGCCCACAATTGTCCCTTCCCTTCCATGAATCCTAGGGGAGAGTGTGTATCCCTGCCCCTAGCGATTTGGGGCTTCACTAAGAACTTGTTCTAGCTAAAGGGCTGTGGGTGGAAGTGACAACATGGCAGTTTCAAGACCAGTCAGCAGCCTCCTCAGTCACAGCCTGAGAGACACATGGGGGCAGCTCTAAAGCTGAGCTGTCCCAGCCAAGCCTCAAATTTGCAAGAGAGAAATAAATACTTGCGGTAAGAAGCCTCGAAGATCTGGAGCTGTTGGTCATAGATTTATCACAGTAAGTGCCTGACTAAGGCAGATGTTGATTATTAGTTCACAGTAAACATCACCATACACCTCCCACTGCGAAACATCACTCATCCACTCACTCCACCGCCCTGAGAAGGGTTGGTATTGTCATTCCCATTCATAATGAAGCAGCAGTGGCACTGAAACAAGTGTGGGCCTCGGACCCCCTGCTGAGAAGTGATGTAGCCAGGATTAAATTATGACGTTTTATTAGTATACAAATAAACTAATAAAACTAACAAGAGCTAACAATTACAAAATAATTATCCTGTATCAGGTGTTCCTTTAATTACTGACACATATAACTTCATTAAATCCTCACAGCCTTACCATGTAGGCTTTATTATTTTTCCCCATTTCACACAGGAGGGAAACAGGCAAAAAGAGGTTAATTTGGCCAAAGTCATACCACTTATAACTAATAGAGCTAGGATTCAACCTCAAACAATCTGACCCCAAACTTCATTCTTATTAACTACACTAATTACACTAGGTCTTTGGAGATTTTTTTCTAGTTTTTTCACAACTCAATTTCCATATCTGAAAAGTGGGGCTCGCAAAGCCCCAAGCAAGCTCAATTCTAGACAACTGGAACCCAAGCCTGTTGGTACACTGCTTATTCCCTTGGATTTCTTTCTTGAAAGGCATGAAGAGAAAACTCAGGCATCTCATCAAGAAACTTCCAGGTGCACTAATTAAAACTTAGCTGCTAAGGGCTACATGGCTGCGCTGGGGCCCTAGGTTCTGCTAGGTCCCTAGCTATGTGGCAGAATATGGCAGGCTAGAGGTTGTGGCTTCTTAACTACAGATGGAGCATCTACACGGCCCACTTTCTCAGCTTCCTAACTCCCTACCTGTTTCATAGGGTCTGTGCCATTCCAGCTCTGTCCTGAGCCACCAAATTCCAACCCATTCTGCTCCAAATGGATTGTCTGTCTCCATCACCTCCTGGAAATTCTCCTGGGGAGGTGAACACTGATTCCTTTTACAGACTCCAACCTTGTTTTCTCCCTCACCTATTCCATAAATGTTCACTGAGCACTTAACATGGGCTCCAGGCTGTGCCTTCGCAGAGCTCATGCACTCATGGATGAGTTGAAGCCCAAGCTATGTGACATTCACCAGACTGGAGGAAACTAGGAGGCTACGGCAGGCCAGAAGAGGCCTAATAGCCTGGAAACCAGATAAGGCTTTGAAAAGGAGGTGTTATCCATCCCGGCCTACAGAAAAAATGAGATTTTTCTCTGGTGACGCTACTATGAATCCATTTCTTTTCCTATAGCTAAATTAAATTCTACCTTATACTCTAGGTAAAGAAAGGGCAGGGAGAGTTGTTGGTATTGAGGGAACAACATGTGCTAATCCTTCCCCTCAGTCCTGAAAGGGAGGGCTTATTCCATTTACAGATGAGGGGGATACATATCCAGGAAGAGACACTTGGCCCAAGGTCACACAGGAATTTAGTGGCAAAGACAAGACTCAAACCCCATGCATTTGTTATCTTTTGCTATGTGACAAATTACACAAATATAGTGGCTTAAAACAACCTGTTTACTTTTTTAAATTTTTTGTGATACTAGGGATTGAACCTAGAGCCTCGCATATGCTAGGCAAGTGTTCTATTACTGAGCCCTAGTTTTTTGGTTTTTGTTTTGTTTTGTTTTCAGTTTTTGTTTTGTTTTTTGAATCAGGGTTTCACTGAGTTGCCTGGACTGGCCTGGAATTTGTGATCTTCCTCTTTCAGTCTCCTGAATAGCTGGGATTACAGGCATGTACCACCACACTCAGCCAACACACATTTATTATCTCACAGTTTCCACGGGTCAGGAACCTGAGCACTTCGGCTTCAGGGTTTCTGCTTCACCAGGCTACAGTCAAGGTGTCAGCAAGGGTAGCCTCAACTAGAGAAGGCTCTACTTCAAGTTCACACAGTCATTGGCAGCATTTCAGCTTCTCGAGGGTTGGTGGACAAAATACCACAGTCCCTAGGTGGCAGTTAACTGGAAGTCACCTTCATTCCTTGCCCTTCTAGCATGACAACTTGCTCCATCAAAACCAGTGAAGTCACAGCCTTAGGTAACCTGATCTCGGAAGTGATCTGCCTTTGCCTATTGTCTTCACTAGAGAGGAACCAGGGCCCCACCCACAGCTCAAGAGGGAAAAATGACACAAAGGCATAAATAGTGGGAGGCACATGTCACTGACTGGGAGACTTTTTACAAACTGTCTACCACATTCACTTTATTCCAAAGTTTTATGCATTTTCCACCACATCAAGCTTACTCTATAGGTAAAACTCCATGGATTTAGACAGTCACTTTTGGTCAGAGACTGGAGACACAGACTGAGGCAAAGCCTATCCATTGTATGCAGAGGACATAGATACCCTTTTGGCCCCTGTGACCCATAAAGCTAGTCTCATCACTCCTATTGCTCATGAATTTATCCAAAACATGGATTACCTTTTATAACCTGATCTGAGGATGACACCAGGTCCTGGTTCCATTCTCTTCTGCCCTTGGGAAATAGATGTGTCTTTTTCTCTTTGTAGAAACCACCTCTCCAGCTCCAGGGAGAACCCTTGAGTTTTGAGGGTAGTGAAGTTCTCAGAGTCCTGGAAATGGGAGACCTGCTTCTCAGCAGATCTGCCCCAGTTTCCCTGTAGGCAAAGTCAGGGAACTGGGCAAGGTGATCACTGAGCAAGGCAATCCTGTTCTAATACACTGAGGGAAAAGCTGAATTGGCACAGCCTAGAGCAGTGCTGTTCAGTATGGTAGCCACTGGGCACATGAAATACTGAGCACATGAAATACAACCAGTCCAAATTGAGATCTGTTATATCCCGGTTGGGTAAGCAGAATTCTAAAATGACCCCACTGACCCTCGCCTCTGTATATATAATCTCCTCTTTACCCAGGCAGAACACCGTAAATGTGTGTTCTACCACACCAAGGAGAGTGCTGTGGTGGGCATGACTTAACTAGATGGGCCTTTAGAAAAGGAAGTCAGTACTCGGGCTTGCCTGAAAGAAAGCAAGTATCCATCCATGTGGTACACTGTCTATGGAACCAGGTCACATGGCAAGGAAGTGCAAGTGATTTCCAGGATTGGACACTGATGGCCAGCAACAAAAAGGGTCCTCAGCCCTACAGCCACAAAAAACTGAATTCTGCCTACAGTGTGTGAGCTTGAGAGCTCCCAACTCCAGAGCAAAACTTCAACCCTAGCCAACACCTTAGCCCTAGCCTAGTGAGACCCTCAGTAGAAAATCTAGCCAAGCTGTACCCAGACTTCTGACCTAGTGAGATGACAAATCTATATTGTTAGAAGCTGCTACATTGTGGTAATTTGTTACACCGCAATAAAAAACTAGTGTACTGGATTTCAAAGGCTTAGTATAAAATAAACATGTAAATATCTCATTAATAGTTTATTGTTTTATGTTAAAAGCATAACATTTTGGATATACTGGGTTAAGTTAAATACATTTTTATTGTTTCATTTTACTTTTTAAAAAGTGTTGCTGTCATGAGAAAAATTTCTAATTATACAGATGGCTCACATTGTATCTCTTGGACAGTGTAACCATAGGGACTCACAAGTCAGCCATATGATTTGGAAGGCAGCTAGCTCAGCGCACAGCCATTTGACTTTGGGCAATCTCGGCCCCTTCAGTACCTATCTCACAGATACATCCCTGAATAACATGAGGCCTGTACTTGACCCAAAGTAAGTGCTCAATCAATGTTGGTAACTATCATTGCTATTCATAAGATTATTTGTAAAGTCTTCTGTCAGTCCAGGATCTGGTCTTCAGCACCTTCTCCCCAACCCGCACACAGGTGCCACTTAAATGCTTGAGGATCCCACAATGTTTGAGAAGTTCTTTCCCCCTAACCCTCACCACTCACTTGGAGGTGGGAATCAGGGCTCCATGGGCAGGTGAGGACCCTGAGCCTCAGAGGCAGAATGACTCCTGTTCAGACTTCACAGTCAACAGGGGAAGAGTCCACTTGAGACCGCTCAAGCACAGCCTGGAGGATCCCAAAAGAAGCTGCCTTCCTCAGCTCCCTGACTCAGCTTCCTGCAGTAGGAGCAAGTGCCTGGGCCTCACCTGTGAAACGGAGAACACAAGAGCCTACCCCCACCACAGAGGGGTCTAGAATGACTGAACTCGCACAACCCTGCTTGGTACATATTAAACGCTCAGTTAAGAAAAACATTATTACCTGTCCCGGGCCAGAGGATGAAGCTCCTCTGCAGAAAGGTTCTCCGTTCCCTTAAATGACCCATCCTTCTCAGGTCCCTGAACTGAGGGGATGCCCGACTCTTAGGCCGGCTCCAGACACCTCCACCCCCTACCGGAGTCAGGAATAGAAACCACCGCCTCCGGCCGGCGGGCAGGCCGCAGCCTCCCTCCCTTCCCCGGCAGGGATCGATGAGGCCTCAGCCGCGAGGGACAGAGGAACACAGGGAAGGCGGGGGCCGCGGGGCCTCCGGCAGCAGCGAGTCACTGCAGGGCCTCTGAGGCAGACAAGCCCAGGCACTGGCAGCAGCTCCCCAGCCTCACTGCCTTCGGGGACAGGCGCTCGAGCACCGGGCGCCAGGGAAGAGCCCAGGGAAGAGCCCAGGGAAGAGCCCAGGCAGGTAAGGGGCCTCCAACAGGGAGGGGGTGATCGGGGCTGTGGGAGCCGGAGGTGGGGTCTGCCTGGGGCTCCAGGTGCCCGCGCCCCCTCCAGGAGGCCGCCCAAGAAGCCAGCAAGATCGAATAGCTGCTTTGGGGACATTGGGGGTGGTCCTGCTTGTCCATCTGTGCAATGGGATTAGAAAATGTCTTTGACTGGATGAGCATAGGGCTTAAACAAATGGGAATGTGTCCTGCATGGAGCTCAGCAAAGTGACCAGCAGGTAGTAGGTGCTCAAAGTGTCAGGACAGTCTCGCAACAAAAAACCTACTTTGTAATCTTAATTGGGTTCCAGACCAGCTGGGTGACTTTGAGAAGTCAAGTCTTTCTTACTGATGCTCAGATTCTTGTCAAGAAATATTTGTTGAACTAATTATCCCATTTCATAGAGCAGGAAAGTGAGTTCCAGACAGATGAAGGGATTTTCTGGAGATCATGCTTCTAATGCGTGATGGAAGTGGATTAGAAACTTAACCTTTCAGTGCCAGGTCCAGGTGGACAGTGGAGCTGCATCACACAGATAGTTACTGGGCACCAGTTAGTGCCAAGGACTGCACTTTGGATAAACACCTTGTATCATTTAATCCTGATACCCTCTCTCAGAAAGTATAATGTTATCCAGTTTGCAGATGGGGAAAGTGAAGCTCAGAGGAGGCCATGGATCCACTCAAGGTCAACAGCTAGTAAGTGGCAGACTCGAACCGAACTCAGGTCTGACCAGAGGGAAAGACAACCAACTAACATTTATGGAGCACTCACTGTGTTCCGGGGGTTTTGCACACATACTTATGATAACAGTTTATCTACAGTGCCATTAGTCCAATTCTGGAGATAAGTGAGCTAAAGCTCAGAGTGGGGGACTGGCCTGGGGATGCATAAGTCACAGAGCTAAGGATGGAATCTCAACCCACTAAGACCAAGCTTAGCGTTAGTGAAGGGCACTTGGGCTCTGGAGTTGATGCACACTCACTTCCAGCCCTCTCAGGGAAGCAGACATCACTGAACTCACAGAGCAGGTGAAATTACCCTGGGTCAGGAAGTGAAACCCCAGCCCTCAGTTCCAAAAAAGCCAGGAGTCCATTCTCAGCCGAAGGGCCCCATATTTCCTGAGTATCCACTAAAGCATAGCACTTTCCATAACCTACCTTAAACCTCCAGCCATCCTTGGGGGTAGGAGCTACCGTCTGCAGTGTGAAGTGTGTAGGAAACAGACCTGGAGAGGAGACACCTCACTCAAGGCCCAAGGTGCATTAAGGGTGGGGTAAAAACCGAGGTTTGCCTGACCTGAGAAGACAGTAACATAGGTGGACAATTTAATAAACTTCTGTAAGCCAGGCCTCCAAAAGACATTAGGTAATGTAATCATTTTAACAATGCTTCCAGGTGGATATTTTATCTCCATTTGACAGAGGTTTAGAGAGGTGATGGGACTTGTCTAAGGCCACACAAGAAAGCCAAGGTTCAAAGTCAGGTCTGACACATTCTATAGATGCCTTGCATAGTCAAACCCCTGTAGTTCTCAAATCTGACCATGTTTCAGAATCACCCTCCAGGATTCTTAAAACACAGACTGCTGGCCCCAACCCAGAGTTTGACATAGTTCCAGGTGACGCTGATGCTGCTATCCAGGGAACACACTTCGAGAACCACTGGTCTAAACTGATTTTCTTAAAATCCTAGGTGGCAAGCACTACAAGCCCCATTTGAGAAGAAAGCTGAGATTCAGAGTGCTGGCATGTCCAAGATCCCACAGTAGACCCCTGTTGTACCTAAACCCACGTTTGTCTGTGAGAAGGTGACATCCTTCATGAGCACCCAGCAGACGCCAGGCCATCTTGACCCTCCCACACTTTCCTGATCTTCCCAGGTAGAGTTCCCCATTTGCTTGCCACTGGAGAAAATGAAACGAGAGCAGCAGGATCTGTGATTTGGGACAAGTCCCCCAGCTGGGGGTGGGCGACATTCAAGCGCAGGCCTGAGTGAGTCCAGAGGGCACTTGACATCCACCGGGCGCTCACTACACACCAGGCACTTTACACAGGGGCCCCAACAGCCCTGACTGGTGGATGGAGCCGCGGATTTTAACCCAGTCTTCTTGGAAGGCAGGCCAGGCACCCACCTCCATCACGGTTCCCCCTCCGCTGTCCGCAGGGCGGGCCGCTGTAGCCATGGTGAGCGAGTCTTCGGGGCGCAGCGCCCGGGTCCCTTGGCTGCGGAGGGACGAGGCGCTGCGCGTGAACGTCGGCGGCGTGCGGCGGCTGCTGAGCGCGCGCGCGCTGGCGCGCTTCCCAGGCACGCGGCTGGGCCGTCTGCGGGCTGCGGCGTCGGAGGAGCAGGCGCGCAGCCTGTGCGACGACTACGACGCGGCAGCGCGCGAGTTCTACTTTGACCGGCACCCGGGCTTCTTCCTGGGCCTGCTACATTTCTACCGCACCGGCCGTCTGCACTTGCTCGACGAGCTGTGCGTCTTTGCCTTCGGCCAGGAGGCCGACTACTGGGGCCTGGGCGAGAACGCGCTGGCCACGTGCTGCCGCGCGCGCTACCTGGAGCGGCGCATGGCGCGGCCGCGCGCCTGGGACGAGGACAGCGACACCCCGAGCAGCGTGGACCCGTGCCCCGACGAGATCTCAGACGTGCAGCGAGAGCTGGCGCGCTATGGGGCTGCGCGCTGCGGCCGCCTGCGCCGCCGCCTCTGGCTCACCATGGAGAACCCGGGCTACTCGCTGCCCAGCAAGCTTTTCAGCTGTGTCTCCATCGGCGTGGTGCTCGCCTCTATCGCCGCCATGTGCATCCACAGCCTGCCGGAGTACCAGGCCCGCGAAGCGGCCGCCGCTGTGGCTGCGGTGGCCGCGGGCCGTAACGCCGATGACGCGCGCGACGATCCGGTACTGCGTCGCCTCGAGTACTTCTGCATCGCCTGGTTCAGCTTCGAGGTGTCGTCGCGCCTCCTGCTGGCGCCCAGCACGCGCAACTTTTTCTGCCACCCGCTCAACCTCATCGACATCGTTTCGGTGCTGCCCTTCTATCTCACCCTGTTGGCTGGCATAGCGCTGGGTGACCGGGACGGCGGGAGCGGCGAGGAGCTCGGCGACCTGGGCAAGGTGGTGCAGGTGTTCCGCCTCATGCGAATCTTCCGCGTGCTCAAGTTGGCGCGCCACTCCACCGGGCTGCGCTCCCTGGGCGCTACGCTCAAGGTAGGGAGTCTGAGACAGGGCTGGAGTGGGTGGAGGCGGGTGGAGGCCCCGAGGAGGTTAGCAAGTGACTTTGTAACCCTGTCACATCCACGAACTGAACGCCACCATTTGGGCCAGACCCAGAGCTAGAGACCAGGTGGACATTTCACATCCAGCCTTACCTTTAATGTTATTTCTGCTTCCCAAAGAGAAAACTGAGGCGTAGCTCTGCTTGTCTTTTCTTGTCTTTTTTTTTTAAATCACTTTTGATATACCTGTCGAACATCAAACAATACACAGCACAAAAATATGCAAAGAAAAAATCTACAAAGCAGGATGCTAACTCGATTCTCTGCTAATGCCTTTCTCTTGCTTTATCCGAGGTCACCCTGTAGCCACAGGTCACCCTTAATAGGCTAAGTGTAGGAGAAGCCCTGGAGCTAACCCTGAGCACAGGATTCTGTGCCAATTTCACATCCATTATCGATTCAGCCTTAGGCCAACATCCTCAGGAAGGTGCTATTATTTATTTTCTTCCCGTAGATGAAGGTCTTGAGGTTGCAGGGCTGGGGTTTTAAAACCTAGTTGCCATTTATTAAGCACCATCTTTGTGCCAGGCCCTGCACAGGGGGTGAAATTACAGTGGTTTGGGGAGGGAGGCAATGTGAAGACCTTGTACCAAGGCCTGGTAAAAGCAAGATGAGTGCTGGCAGCAAAGACACAGAGGGAAGCAGGTGCCAAGAAATGAGGTTGAAGACGTGCGTGGGTCAGGGTACTGAAGGGCATGAACTATGTTTTACTTTATCCCAAGGGCATAGGGGATTGAGTGAAAGGTTAAGCGAAGGGAGGTAACTGTCACTACTTTGCAGGTGAAGGGACTAAGGTTCCAGAAGTGGCAGGACTTGTCAGAGGTTCCTCAATAAGTGGCAGAGCCTGACATTTCATGGTCTTTCTTCTAAAGCTCCAGGCAGCCCTGCAAAGGGTCCCTAGAAGTGGCATAAAGATCCCTTCACCCTCTAGTAAAGCTTGTTGTATGCCCTGTGGCAAGCAGCCAGGATATTGGGTGCCAGCAGGTGACCTGGGCAGCACCAGGAAGGTGCAGAGAATTCTGCTAGCCAGACCCCCTGAGTTCAGCGTCTCTCTGGGGAAGATCCTTCTGCCCCAGAATCCTGCCTTGTATCCACAATGCAGAGAATCAGGGCTTAAGGCTACAGTACTAGCTTTGTCTGAAGGGAGGAAGAAAAGTAATGATTGGAGCTGTTAGGGTCAAGATATTGCTGTAAGATAAAGAGCTTTGCCACTCAAAATGAAGCCCAGACCAGCAACAGCTTTCTCAACACCTAGAAGCTTCTAGAAAGCCAGAATCTCTGGCTGTACCCCAGACATACTTAATTGGGTTCTCCCTTTTAAGCAAGATCCCTGTGTGATTCCTCCACATATTATAGTTTGAGACACTAGGGGTTCTCAGCCTGGTGCTATTGACATTGGGGGCCAGATCATTTTTAGTTACGGGACCTATCTTTTGCACTGTAGGGAATTACAGCATATCCCCAGCTTCTACTCACTAGATACCAGTAGCACAGTGTCCCAGTTTTGACAACCTGAAATGTCTCTGGACGATGCCAAATGTCCCCAGGGTGGCAAAGGCCCGCTTCCCTGGAGCTTGGCCTCAGGGGCAAAGAAACATATACAGCCATAAAGAATCCATTCTAGGAGTAGTCTAGGGGAGTCAAATCCTCTTGACTACCTTGCAGGGCAGAAAATATGTTTGTCTTGTCAGAAATGCGATAGGGCCAATCAAAAGTACATGAAGCCAACTCTTTGAAGTATGAAGCGTAAACTATGGTTCTCATGATTCTGTAGCAGTATAAAAATCCCACACTTTTTGTCACTGCCCGATGCTACCAGGATCCCTGAGTTACAGGAAACAACTGTGGCCTAGCAAGCCTGTTGGACAACAGAAATTAGGCTTGTGTTGGATTCCAGGGAGTTTTGTTACCTGCTCTGGTTGGAAAATCTTAGTTTGGAGCCAGGGTACCTGGGTCTTGGTGTCAGCTCCACCTTCACCTTGCTATGTGACTTTGGACCTACCTTTCATACTGTCTCACCCTCGGTTTCCCCATATGCCCACTCCCAGTTCTGTAAGCCCACCTGCCTCTGACTTGGGTTCCTTTTCTTCCAGCACAGCTACCGTGAGGTGGGCATCTTACTGCTGTACCTGGCCGTGGGTGTGTCAGTGTTCTCCGGTGTGGCCTACACAGCCGAAGAGAAGAACGTGGGTTTTAACACCATCCCAGCCTGCTGGTGGTGGGGCACTGTGAGCATGACCACTGTGGGCTATGGGGATGTGGTGCCAGAGACAGTGGCTGGCAAGCTGGCGGCCTCAGGCTGCATCCTAGGGGGCATTCTGGTGGTGGCACTTCCCATCACCATCATCTTCAACAAGTTCTCCCACTTCTACCGGTGCCAGAAGGCTCTGGAGGCAGCCGTGCGCAACAGCGGCCACCGGGAGTTTGAGGACTTGCTGAGCAGTGTTGACGGGGTGTCAGAGGCATCTCTGGAGACATCCCGAGACACCTCTCAGGAGGGACGGTCTGTAGACCTGGAGACTCAGGCCCAGGGTGAGCCTCCAAACACTCAGAGTTATTAAAACTAGGTCTCTGCATCCCCTTCCACCCCAAGTCAGCTGAAACAGAGCAGATTCCTCCCCTGCTTCAGCTCTCATGGGAGTGAGCCCCTCAGGACCACTAGCACCGGCCTAAGAAAAGAGACCCAGGGCCCACACACCTTTCTCCAAAGGTCATGGCAGAGAGAGTTGCCCTGTATTCTGTGAGTCCACAGAGCAACTCAAGACACTTTTATTAACCAGCCTCCAAGCTACCTATGAAGCGGGCCTGAGCCACAAGGAGAAAGAAGAAGGATGCTAATGATTCTGAGCACCTTCTGAATATTGGCCAAATTTGGCCCTGTGTTGGAAGATGAGAATCATCCGACATTTCAAGCCAGGCATAATGGCACACAACTGTGGTCCAACTACTTGAGAGCTGAAATAGGGTTGCAAGTTCAAAGCAAGCCTGGGAAAGTTAATGAGACCCTGTCTCAAAATACAAATTTTTTAAAAGACTGGCGAAACACTCAGTGGCACAGTGCTTGCCTAGCATATATAAGGCCCTGGGTTCAATCCCAGTACCAAGAGAAAAATAAATCATTCCCCTTTCACAGATGTGGAAACTGAAGCTCTGAAGCAATGACTCACCCAAATGGTTTGCCAAGACATGTTCCATCCACTCTCTCTCTGCTGCCTTCTCAGAGTTTGCATGTGGTTTTAGCAGTATGTGGATACACAAACCCGATCCATGGAATGAGAATCCTTTTCAGAGTGAGGGAGAGGAGCAGGCAGGATTCGAACATAGGAGCCTTGGCCCTCAGCTCTAGTTCTTTTCTAGGAGCTTCTGGAAGGAGTCAGAATGAGTCCTGGGAGGATGGAGAAGGAAGCTCCTTCCTTAGTTCATGTGCAGAATTTGCTGAGCAATAATCTTCTGCACCTTCATCCTAAGGCTGAATTGAGATACAGAAAATCTGAAGGGGCCTTGGCCTGAGGTCCAGACTCAATTCTGGAACAGCCTGTGTGAAGCAGCCAACCCCTACCGCCGTCACCAGACCTGTGCCAAATGGTCACAATCTGTGACCCAGAGGGAGATGAAGAAGCCAAATGGGGCAGAAGAGGCACTGACTTAAAGACAGCTTAGCTCTGAAATGCTAGTGCCAGGGGCTGCCGTGCATGTGCCCCCCTTCTGGCAATTCCCTTCTACCCACCACACGTTACCAGCCTTACCTTGAGCAACCGTCCAGGCTATCCCTTTTGGCTAGCTCTGGCCCTGTCATCCTTGCTGCCAGTAAATCTGTAGAACTCCCCTGCTAAAGCCTCTGTCCATGTGCTGAGAAAGACAGGAAGGGTCGCCATGGCCCTTTCCACATACCATAGCTAGAGCATCCTTGAGCAATATCATTGTGACCAGATTGTGGCTTTGTTTGTCCCATCACACCAAGCCTCAAGATGGAAGGCACTGTCTGGCTGATCTTCACACTTGGAGCAAAGCAGTTGTTTAGTACATGTTTAGTAGACAGACCAATTCCTGTAGTCTACTGTGTGCCATGCACTGAAAGGAAAGAAGAAATACTCAGAAACTGGACGAGACCCTTGCCTCCCTTGGCCCTGCTTGGTTTTTACAGTGGCTTCCTTTACTCATTCAGGAAATCTCTGTTAGAAGAGTCGTAAGCTGGGGCCTCACATGTGGCCTGCAGACATGTTTTGTTCAGCCGAACAGTAATTTAGTATATTTTTATTTTTATTTATTTATTTATTTATTTATTTTTTGGTACCAGGGATCGAACTCAGGTCCTTGTGCTTTCAAGGCAGGCGGCAGAACCACTGAGCTAAATCCCCAGCCCCTAGTATATTTTTAAACTGGGACTGCCTTTGGGTGAGGCATGCAGTCTCCAGTTCCCCATACCATCCCCCTCCCTGATCCCATACACACACATACACACATGCTCCTGTTACCAGTGTTGTAGATTTACTTTACCCACTCAGCCTCTGATTTGCTGACAGCTTACTAAGTTCAAAAAATACAATGGACAAAATATATATCCCTATATACATTAAGCTACTCAGACTAGTAGGGAAGACAGACTGCAATGGAAGAATCACAGGCACATATAATAGCTCTATTAAGTGCAAGGAGCTAACTATAAGCGTATATAATGTACAAGAGACCATTCCCCGAGAAGATCAGACACCTTTCCTGAGCAAGTGATGATCTAACTTGTCACTGTAAAGACAGCTAAGTAGGCAGAGGGGGTTCCGGGGAGGGAGTACTCCAAGCATTAGCAGAAGTACATGTGAAAGTCTTGTGTTGTACACAGAGCCTAGTACAGTGATGGCGAACCTTGTCAAGCTTTCCGTGATAAACAGCCCACTGCAGCATGCGTGCCATAGGTTTGCCACCACTTCTAATATGTAGTGGGCCCCTAACATGCTTGTGGATTCCAAGACTCCAGACTGGAGCAGCACCAGGAGCCACAGGGACTCTCAGGAACTTAACCACACTCACCTCGTAATGTCTGGGCCCAGATGTGCCCAGGTTGGGGGCAGACACTCCAGGGCTGCATGCATTACTCTTATGGTGTTACTTTACACACTAAGAAGTCAGATGTTTTCCAGACTTTCTGACCTCATGAACAGGACCCAAAAGTTGGTGTGGCGACCCCTCAGGGGAGAATTCTCTGGCCTGCATCTACCACAAGATTGTGCATGGTCCGGAAAGAAATGCAACAATTCCCAAACCAGTCTATCAGTGAAAAACATTATGCAAATAAAGATATGTGCCTCAAGACGTTCATGAAGCTGGTTTTCTGATGTGCTCTCTGAGTGATTGGGATCGCTGGGCAGTATGTGGAGTAAGTAATGTGGAATCCACAGCCTCTTGCTCCAACCTTGAATTTGGCACAGGCTTTATCTGTGGTAATGCCAGCCAGAACAGGTTGCAAGTGACAGGAATCTAGTCGGAACAAACTTGGCCAAAAAGAGTAATTCAAACCAGGTATGACAGCACACTCAGGGAAGCTGAGGCAGGAGGATTGCAAATTCAAGCCCAGCCTGGGTAACTTGGCGACTTAGTGACTCTCAAAAAAGTATAAAATAAAAGCCCTGGGGATGTAGCTCAGTGTGAAAGCCCTGGGTTCAACCCCTAGTATGGAAAGAGTAGTAATTGGATTAAATGATGAAAGTGATGAATAACATAATTAAAATTCTTTGATTGCAAGCAACAGAAACTGACTAGCTTAAGCAAAAAACCAATTTATTGGAAGGTGCATCCATTTCCAGTGGCTGCCATAACAAATTACCATAGACCACATGGTTGAAAACAGCAGAAATTTATTTTCTTAACAATTCTAGAGGTCAGGAATCCAAAATCAAGGTGTTGGCAGACCCATACCCCCTCTAGGGGCTGCAGGGGACAATTCCCTCCTTGCCACTCTGGCTCTTGGCATTCCTTGGCCTTCCTGAACTCGTGGCTGCCGTCACTCCAGTCTCTGCCTCTGGCATCACACCTCATTCCCAATATGGTCACAAGACTGCTACTAGCATTTATAACACCCCATTCTGTGCTAGTGGATTCCTTCCTCAAGGGCAAGTACAGTATCCTTCAAGCGATGGGCTTTAGATCAGTAAATTAACTCAGGCTGATGTTAAGTGATGATCTGTAGCTCTCCCGGTGGCTTGTGAGAGCTAGGGTGTTAGGGTTTTTTTTATTAAGTTGTATTGGTGATACAAACAAGACTTTAGTGGGTTATGTTTGATTTAACATTTTATGGCCACCCTACACCCTGAGCTCTTGCCTTATTCAGAGCCTGCTGTATACCATGATGATCATATCCACTTCTGAGGATGAAGTACTAACACCTGACCTCTGCAACTGTTTTCTTTCCCTCTAATCTCAGGGAACTCATTTCAAATTATAGCTCCTCTACCCAGCACTCCTGACCTTGACTTTCTTCAAAGCACGGGTAAAGTATGCTGGGTTCATTGGAGGCTATAGAGGTATCTGTGGTAAGGAGGCACAAAATAGATCCAATCAGGCATCCTGTCTTTATTCCCTCCTCCACATGATGCCAAGGGATTTGCGCCCTGTAAGTTCCATTTCATGTGGGCCAGCATTTGGTTCAAATTGGCCTTAGCCAACTCGTCAAATTGTAAGAGCCTAGCCAGCTCCTGGAGCTAGTATGGAGAAGGCAGAATCTCTGTTAAGTGCATCCGTATCAAGACCAGCCTGATCCAAAATTGTATTTCCCCTTGCTTGATCAAACACCACAAAAATCCCCATTCCTACAAACACTTGCCAAATTTCTGACGGTATCAATTAACAAGTTTCTACAATTCTATATGGGCTCAAGATGATTTCCTGCTCAGTTTACTTTTCACCCTCCAAGCCAAACTGGTCTCTCCCAGCCAAGCAGCCTTGAGAAATGGGGCAAGCAGAAAGTTGTGCGCTTTTGCATGTAAGGAAGGTTATGAGCTGCTTGCATCTGTGTTTTAGAGTGCCTTGAGTTTTTCCTGCATCTTCTCATATGGCTATTGATCATCAGAATCCCTCTTTATCAGTGACTAACTTCATAAAACCACTGTGAAGCTATGAATTCAGCCACTTGTGTAATCAGTAGCCAACTTTGGTATTTGAAGAACTCAGCCCTACAGCAAGTCACATGATTCTTTCACCATGGTCACACAAATTCTCTGCATTTCTTTTTGTCCGCAAAAGTAACAGCTACAATATTTGGGGATGCTTTGTTGACTCTCCTTTTATATTATTCTATGTAGTTACAAACAAAACATCTATCACACAAGCCATCATTCCTCGATTCCTGAAAATTAAATTGTGATAAATGCTATCTCTTCTCTAAGAACCATACCCTTAATGCTCAAATGATACCAAGTAATGCAAGAAATAATTCTTTATCATTGCATATCAGTCTGCTGGTCTTTGAGACCAGTGCATGAGGAAAAACCTCACTGTGATTTGCCCCATCACAACCCAATAATTTTGAATACCTTACTTTCCTGGAGGATATATTTCCTACAACTTTAGTTCTTGTTTCTGATATCAGGAATATTTGGTTACAAACAACAAAATGACTACACTGAACAGATACTGGAGAGGATCAAGATAAAATTAAACAGACTTTGAAAAAGGAATGAAGGCAACATAGAGATTGAAGTAACTGGAACCAGTGAATCATCTCTTTAGGATACTGTTATTAAAACACCTGAATGACACTTGTCTTCATTTTATGTATCACTCTTCTCAAGCTAAAAACTTGAGGGAGGGATGAGGGGAGCTATCACAGTCCTGTCAAATACCAAAGGCAGTGTAATTCCCTAAGGAAAAGTGGAATGCATTCATTAGAATGAGGGAAAGGAATCCTGGGGAGGCAAAACCAATACATATCTTTTACAAGACCACTGGGTGAGAATGGCAGCTATCTACATGAGTTCAGCAACAGAAACCAAGAATAAAGGAGGACAGAGACATAAAGATTAACGTTTGCACCACATGGTAGTAAACCACAGGGTTACTAAAGTCTCCCAATTCCATACCTTGTAGCACCTCCCCTAAGGAACTCTTTCCTCCAGTTCCAGTTTGAAAAAAAAAATCAGTGATTGGCCCAGCTCTGGCAAGGTGACTGGATCACTAAAAGGGGTGGCATGGAGCTTGAGTTTGTAAGAACTTGGCAGCTGTCATGTGAACCCGTGGCTGGTGTGAGAGTCAAGCAGTTCCTAGAAGGGAAAGGGAGTGCTGTACAGATCCATAGCTATCCCTTGAAGCCTTACTCTCTCAAGCCTCAGTTTCATTTTCTATAAAATGGAGAGGAGATGTCCAGAAACTTTCAGGAGAAACTGGTGCCCTGGGTCTGAAGCATACAAATCAGGACATCTAGGGCTCTGGAATGTGGTGTGCTTGTTCTTAATGATGGAGACACTTTGATAGTTTCTATTTGCTGTGTCTTGGGGCAGGGACTTCCTTGGTGGGTGAAACATAGTGTTCTTTATGATCAGATTTAAAATCTCCTCTTCCCCAGACCCATATTACAGATCAGAAAACAGACCCAAAGAAGTCCAGATCACACAAGAAACCCATACCATACCTGAGTTTCTTTGGGTGAGAACTTTTTAGCTCAAGAGCCAGTGGGGTGTTCACAATGGAAAACAGGTGTGGAAGAGAATCGTTTTGACTCTTAAGGTACTTGTTGAGGCTCCCAAGAGTGAAGATAGCCCAGTAAACAATCATAGCCACCCTCCACTTATCTATGGTACTCTAATTTACAAAGTCTTCCATTATTTCATATACTCCTTGCACCAATCCTGTAAGACAATACCAATAATAAAAAAATAGGATCACCATAATTGAACAGGCGACAAAACTTAAGGCCCATAGTCAGACAGTTATAAAGTAGTGGATCAGGGATTCAAACTCAGGCTTCCTGACACTGGATGATACTACTTTTGTACCACATTACCACTATCATCACTTTGTTTGGCAAACAACTCCTAGGGGACCATTGAAGGAAGTGGCTTTGAAATATAGGTCCTATTATGAACTTCTTCTCTCTTCAGGCTCTGGACACAGCCCTTAGGTGCTGGCTGCATGGTCCTCAGTGACTACCAGACCTCATATTTCAGGCCAGCTAGGCTTTGTGACTGAAGATGGGGAAAATTCTTTAGGAAGCTTAGTAGACTAGGCAGTTAACCTTTGAGAATAGAGAAGGGGACTGCACACAACTCAGCTTTAAAGTCAGATGTGGCTTAAAATATTGGCCCTGCCACTTATGACTTGAATTGGACCTGTTGGCCTCTAAGGGGCATCACCTCAGGAGAAACCTCCCACTAACATCGAAAGCCTTCCTTTATCTTTGCTTACTTAGATCAGGAAGGAATCTTTCTGTTACAAATGGCAGAAACTCAACAAAATGGCTTAAATATAGGGGAGTCTAGAGGTTCAACTGAAGTCATCATCTCTCCCTACTTCTCCTCTGCTTGGCCTTTCCTGTGTTGGGTTCATTCTCAGGCAGCCAGTTTATTAAAAATTATTTGATGGGAGAACCTAAGGGGTGCCCTGTAGTGGAGAGAATATGGTTAAGACCAGACAGACTTGGACTTGAACCTCTGCTACTTATGAGTGTGATCTTGGTTGGGTTTCTTTGCCTCTCTGAACCTCGGTTTCTATACTTGTCTCTCGGAGTGTTAATGTCAAGTTCAAGTGTGATATGCCTGGAACTAGAAATGCTAAATGTTAAACAAACCAAAAAATGCACAGGAAGGAAAGAGATCAGCATCCTCCTCCTGAGGTCTTATTTTCCTCAGAGAGGTGAAGCAACGCTGAGCAGAGGTTGTAGTTAGCTTATCTACAGATTGCAAACCAGACTCACTACTGTACTTGAGGCCACAGAATGAACACTGGAGTTTGAGTCTGGACTTGACACTGCCAAACCTTGGGCCTTGGTTGATCATTCACCAAACCAAGGTGCTGAATTAAATGCTAGTGGACTAAGAGGAACCACCCCTTACATTTGTACATAGCTGGGTAGTTTCCTATCCATGACCTCCAAGGCTTGGAAAAACAATCCAGTGGAGCATAGTATCTTTGTTTATTCAAGTATAAAATACTCACAGGGGAAAAAGACCCCAAGAGATCATGTCAGTGAATTTTCTCACTGTGAGCACCCCCCATGTAATAAGCAACCAAATAAGGAATTAGAACTAGGGCCGGAGATTTAGCTCAGTGGTTTCTCAGCCTGCTGCACAAGCGCAAGGACCCCGGTACCAAAAAAAAAAAAAAAAAGAATTAGAACTCGAAGCCTTCCTCATGCTCCCATTCTGTCACTGCCTCACAACCTCGAGGTGAGTTCCTGACTTCAAACATCAACTAGCTTTCCTTGGTTTTGAATTTCATATAAATAGAATTATACATTAAATATTCTTTTGTGTCTCTGGCTTTTTTTATTGTGGTAAAATCGAAACTTACTCATTTAATCCCTGCACGTGCTCAGTTCAGTAGCACTAAATACATTCACATTATGATTTAACCACCACCATCATCTGTTTCCAGAACTTTTATATCTTCCCAAACTGAAACACTACCTATAAACACCAATTCCCCATGCCTCCCTCTCTTTGGCAACCACCATTCTACATTTATATTTGACTACCCTAGATATCTTATATAAGTGGAATCATAAATATTTGTCCTTTTGCAATTGGCTTATTTCACTATTAGCATATGTCTTCAAGGCTTATCCATGTTGTAGCCATCTGTCAGAATGTTCTTTTTAAGAACTGAATAATATTCAATTCTATGTATATATATCATATTGTATTCATCCATCAACGTCTGGCTTCATTCTGACACTTGACTCAGCCATACTGATGTACATAGCAGGAAAATGTACAAGCAGACAATGCTGCCCAGGAAACCAACCCCATATCCACAATAAACATCTCAGGAGGCCAGGCTGCTATTGGTCAGATTTGCAGGAAGCCAGATTGCTATCTCTAGTTGACAATTCAGGAAGCTAAACAATAAATTCTGTAACAATCCGTTCAAAATGGCCAGTATTGGACTAATAATTGATAACTTTCTAAATTTTTGTCCCGACTTCTTAGGCCAACAAAAGAAAAGTGAACATACCCATCATGTAGAATGTCCTGGTTCTGGTTAGCTTGCCTACAGCTTTCCTACGCCACAGCTTCCAGTGAGGGCACGCCTGTAGTCTTCTATCTACTATAGAGCTTTTCCATTCCTTTGCCTGCCAAAATGCAAGTCATTAGTGGCTGACTCTGAAGAGTCTCTGATTTCCCTGTTTGCTTAGCCTTTATTTCCACAGTAGCAATAGTCAGTGCTGTATTCTACTATGTAACTTTACATAATTTATCCATTCTGCTATCACTGGGCATGTGGTTTCTAGTTGGGAAAATGGTGAGTGCTGCTGCTCTGAATATTCTATGTCTTTTTTTATAAAAATGTGTATACATCTCTATTGAGGAATTACTGGGTTATGTGTATACTCATCAGTATTGGAGAGTTCAGTTGCTCCACATCCTCACCAACACTTAAAATTCTTATCACTTCCATTTTAGCTATTATGGTAGGTGTGTAGTGGTAGTACATTATATGTTCCTGATGATTAAAGTTGAGTACTATCTCAGAAAAGCATGCCAGTTCCCAGCTGAAAACCCTCCGATGCTTCACCATCTCATCAGGGATAATACCCACACCCATTCTCGTGGACCGAAAAGCTCTGCATACTCATGCTTCCATCTACCTGTGAGTGCTGTTCCAGCCACACAAGCTATCCTTCCATTCTCCCAACAACTCTAAACTTTTGTCCTTGCCTCAGGACTTTTACTTTTGCTGTCCCCCAGCCTGCAATGTACATCTTCCAGGTCTTCTACCTGGCTGGCTCCTTTTTGTCCTTCTGTTTTCCCTTGAAACATCTCTTCAGAGCCTGCCCAGATGATCCGATGTAAAGCTGTTTCTCTCTACACACACTTACTCTCAATTCTGTTACCCTATTTTACTTCCTTTGTAGCACATTATCATTCTCTGTAATTATCATTTATTTGTTTACATGTTACATAGTCTCTGTGAATACAACAGTTACAAATTAAACCAATCTTGGTACGTTTGCCTTGCAGTAGTGAGTCAAAAATCACAAGCATTGCTGCCTTTGATGATGTGATTTTCTGAAACAGAGAACATCTCTTGGAAAAGCTCCAAACAAAAGAAACTACAAGTGTCTCTCAATTTCTACATAGTTTATTCTGGAAAACTAATGGTAAAACCTCATACAAGGATATTACTTTTAAATTAAAAGAATCATACCACAGCGATATATGTGCACCTATGTTTATAGTGGCACAGTTTGTAATAGCTGAAGCTTGGAAACAGCTCAAGTGCCCATCAACTGGAAACTGGATACAGATGTGGTTTATTTTTATTAAATGGAGTACTACTCAGCCATAAAGAACGACAAACTAAGAGACATTTATAGCTCAATAGATGCATATTAAGGCCATACTCTTAAGTATGAAGTGAAATAAAAAGGACACACATGTGTAAATACCGAATAGTTTCTCTAGTGTGAGAAACTGAAAGTGTAAATAAGGATTAAAGTGATTAAAATGAAAAATTGATAATTTGAAATAGGAAAAGGTCCAAAGGTGTAGGGGTAGTGGGAGGGGAAGGGGAAAGGAAAGAAGGGGAAGGAAAAATTATGAGAAAAGAAAAAAAATGGAAACAAAATCTATGTAAATAGGGAAGGGTGGAGGGGGTGAAGGGTGCACAGGTAATGAGGAAAAAAATAAGAACCAAGATACAGCATGTACAGGTACAAGGACCGAATGATAAATGTAAATGTATTACATACCTAAAATGTACCAATAAAATAATTTTTTTTAAAAAGTACTTTACTTTTAGTTGTAAATGAAATCTGGTTTGGTTTCAGACAAGTTTTTCACCAAAATAACCTTTGATGTTTTGCAGAATTATCCCAGAATGCACTGCAGGGCACACAGCAAACCTGCCCCTGCTCCCTAAATGCTGGTAGGGCCCTCAACTGTTGTCAGTCAAAAACATTCCCACATATTTCCAGAACAAATCCAGTGGGCAGTATAGTGCCCTGAGAATCACCTATCTACAGAGAGGGGACACTACTATACACCCGAGTCTTTGTGAAAACATAATGAAGTAACCTAAATGGCTCTGCATTGTGACTATCACACAGTAGGTGCTATTACATGTAAATTTATTCCATCCCTGCTTCTTTTGGTCATAGATTCTTAACCTAACCAATAGGGAACATCTGTCATCACCCCTGGCAACAGCATGACAGTTATGAAGACAGGCTATGGAATTACTGTACTAAATACTATACAGCAGTCTGACTCAAGAGACCTACACTTACTTTTTAGTGCAGTGTAACTCTGTTCCCTCCTTGCTGCCAGGGAAAACTTTTTAAGACTAAAGAGAATTCAGGGTCAGGCTGGGGAATTATTTCTGGAAAAGGAGGAGTCATCCAAGTGCAGGATCCTGCTGCTCCACTCTGAATCCTGGGCCATGCCTGACTTCATGTAACAGCAGACAGGGATGGTAGATTCCGACACCAGGCGCCTGATGACCCTACATTAGATCTCCACTCCAGGATCTTTGTCCAGGCTGGGCCTTCTGTTCACCTTCTCCCTCAGCTCCTACTCTTCATCAACCTGGCATTCTCTTCCTCGTTTTCCAAGTTTCAGGATAGTGTTACCTCCCCCAAGAGCATCCTTGGATGCCCCGACAGCACTGACTGTCGCTCATTCCTGTGTGTTCACAAGCCATGCACTTTCTTCTTCTCTCATAGTACTTCCAGTGTTGTATGCTTTTGTGGTTGACTGACTCCCTAGGTGCTATGCAAGAATTGTCTCTCATGTATTTTTTACATTGGTGACAACTAGCTTTGCCCCAGGCACACAGTAGGTCCCAGCAAGTTTACCTATCTGTCCCAGCTTTGGATCCTAAAATATACACAGCACATAGTCAGTGTCACAAAGGTTCACACCATTAAGCAGACATGTATTTAGGACTTCATTTTTAAAAAGACAGGAGATCTGCGGTCCAAAGGACAGTTTATTTAAAACAAAGGTTGACAAGGTACAGGAAGAAAGGAGGAGGAAAAACAACAAATTTAACATAAAAGTATACAGGAAGCATCTCAAATTAAAAAAAGATAGTAAAAGGTAATGGAGGAAGCCATGTCTCATACATATACAAACTGCTGACCTCAACTGATTATTTACATCCAAACCTTACAAAATAGCATTTCAAGTCAGCACTTAAGCCAGTGTTACTAGTTTTTGTTACAAAAAAATTAAAGCTACAAACTTCACATTTTAAATTGTACATTAGCAACAGCATTTAAGCTTATTTTTAAATCCAAGTTGGTCCAAGTGCAAGCTGGTGAGTTTTTTGCCAAACACAAAGAACATGGATTCCAAAGACCATGACTGGAATTCTGATGAAACATAAACATGGTGCCAAGAAAGCATGGGGTGCAGAGGGGAGAGTGGATTGAGGAGGAACAATTCCCCCATAAATAAGGAGCTGCAGTCTGTCGAGCCAACGTGGTATGTTAGAAAGGACACTGGGTAAGAACCAGAGGACATGGATGTAAAACCCTGACTCTTCTATACTATAGTGACATGGTCTTGAGCAACTGACTTTACCTCTCTGAGCCTCAGTTTCATCATCTATAAAATGAGGAGAGTTTTACTTGTATCTCTCAAAGCTATTAAGTTTCTATAGAAATAGGGCTGTTTGGATTATCTATTTCTCCTTGAGTGTGCTTTGGAACTTTGTATTTTTCCAGGAATTTGTCTATTTCATTTAAATTGTTGAATGCATCAGCATAAAGTTGTTCATATGATTCTGTTATTAGCCTTTTAATATCTACAGGGTCTATCATGATGTCATCTCTCTCATTTCTGACACCAGGCTGGGCTACTGAATTTTATATGGTATAATAAATTTCTGGCATCTGACAGGTGCTAAATCAATGTTTCCTGGGTGGAATCTACAGTCTCAAGGAGTCAAGTCTATGGTTCATAAACTGCTTCAGAATACTGGTTCATTAGTTCATCCATGCCCTATATCATTCTATCTATCCATCTTTCTCCTCCTCAGCCAAATTTTCATCCATCCAACTGGTAGTTGGACAAAAGAATATAAAGAAAAAAATAGAAACGTGCTTCAGATTCACCAGTGGGAGAGCAATTTAGATATTTTAAGAGACGATGAGATTTTTAAAAAGATGTAATAAGTGTGGGTCATGGTTTCTTGGAAGTACAGAAAGCCTTAGAGTTCCTTGGAAGCTTGAGACACAAATGCTTAAGCTCAATGAAAACGGAAGTATCTTGAACTTAATATTTAAAGAAAAAATGACTAGGACCTGCTCCTCTGCCTTTCTGTCACTAGAAGACAAATATACAGGAAATTTATCTGATCCAAAACAATTTGACTTCTAGCCAAAGGGCTCTGTCTAGCTAGAGTGATGAGCAAACGACTTGCTGGGTCAGTATGTTGGATGTAGATATGCTTAGAACAAAATAACCTCCAGATCGAGGTTCATGGCCCACCAATATTTATGGAGAAAAACTGAGTTTTCCTTTACTTAGATCTTGCTTAGGAAAGGAGAAAAAGGCTTTCTTCTCTGAGCTCTCTGTTTAAAGAGGAAAGAGACTAAGGCAGAACTGTTAGCACAGCAAGTGGAGTATCCATGCTCAATGCTCAATGCTTTGGTTTTTAAAACTTAGCTGGCTGTCAGACCTATTAATTCAGCTGTTTTCCAACCTAAAAATGATACTCAGGCTGGGCAAGAAAAGATGGTCATTTCATTTTAAACAGACTCATGACTTTCCTGTTCTCTGCCATGAGTGTCCAACATTTGGCTTGGCTGGGCCACCCTGAATGAAGAGGAATTGTCTTGGGCCACATAAAAATATTAAATATAGTTGGTGTGTATAAGGAACAAAACTTTTTTGTTTTTATATCTGTTATGCCTGAGGCCTGCAGGTTGGACATGGCTGCATGTGTTTCTATAGAGCAATGCTACGAATCCCGATTCTACCACTTATTGGCCGTATTGCCTTGGGAAGGAATAGTTCTCTCCAAACCCATTTTCCTTTGTACCTATGAACTGGAGATAAAGTATTTAACCCAGAGGACTACTATGAAATTTGAAGCCTACCTAGCCCAGGGCTTGGCAATAAATGCTAGCTGCCATTTTATTATTCCTGCAAGATCCTCACTTGTCCTCTTTTTTATCTGCCACATAGCTAGGCTAAGCCCTGAAGACCAACTGCCTTTTGCATTTTTAAAAACTTGTTTTAACTGCAAAGAACAGAATCTGATCACAGAAGAACTATCCCTGACTTTCCATTGATTCTCAGGTTTAGGGAGCAAGAGCAATTATGGAGTCAAATTACAAAAATCTTTGGTACAACCTAGTCATGGTTCCCCTAGCTGAAGGAAGAGATATTAGAAGAAAATAAAAAGATACTTGTCTTTCCCAATTGTGTTCTCTTTTCTGTGTAACCGGTGTGGCTCTGAGCCAAAGTCGTAGGAAGAAGGCTCCATGCTGTCTTTTTGCAAAGACCTCTGCTGTGCTTTGGCCCCTAAATCTGCCCCCAAGGGTGCATGTCAGCTAGGCACAGCAGAACTCATGGACTCTCTGATATTTTTCTCTGGGGAATCTTTTCATAGCCATGTCACCTAAAAAGAAGCAAGGCAAGAGGTTTCTGTCAGCTGGGATCCGTGGGACAACTTAACCCAAATGGACTCAAATCTTTTTCCTCAGGGAAGGGGCTGCTCAGTTCAGTGTCCCAGGGATGGAGACCTGAGTTCCAATCCCTGCTCTTACTGTAACCTGGTTTCTGAGGTTGGCCATGTCACTTCCCTTCTCACAGGGTAAGACCAGATGATCATTATGGTCCCTTCTAGCTCTGGCATTCTATATGTCCAGACTGAGCATCCTGGAGTATTCATTTATACTTCCAGACCCCTTAGTAGCAAAAGAAGAAAGAAAACAGTCACATATTTGAATGTGGATAAAAAAAAAGCAATGCTCCATACCCCTGCCTATAAGGAATAGAGCAAAATGCCACTTGTATAATTTTTCACATGAACAACGAGAGCTTCAAAATCCCTTTCCTTTTGTGGACTGAACACAGCCCTGTGTTTGCCGAGAGTTCCTGGTAGGCCTGTCCCTTTACCAGATCACCTCTCCTCTAAGGCACTGGGAAACATCTGTGATGTGACTTTAGGCAGTTGGGAGAGTGGAGATGGATGAAAGACACTGAAACACTAAAGGTCAACTTGCAAAAAGGGTACCAGGCTTCTCTTGGGACTCAAAGAGCAAACACAAATTCTCGAGGTGTTCTGAGCATCACTGTCAGCTCCAAAAGCCAGTCAGTGATGACTGTGCAAGGTCGAAACCACGGTGGAAACCAATCCCGAGTTTTAAATGCAGCCCTACAAAGGGTGAGGTTGGCTCCCAGGACTCAGTGATCTCCTAACAGGTTCCTGATGTCCTCGGCCCCCATGTTCCACAGTACCATAATCTTACAGAAAAGAGGCGAACTGTTCAAAACTGTACCTGTACAGAGATGCCACCACACTGAGTGGGGAATCGATTTATAATTTATATATATATGCATATTTATATATTTTTTAAAAGTCTTCCAGAAAGAACAATCAAAAATTATTGGGAAAAGAAAAACAAAAAAGATAATGTAAAACTTTTCCAGCTATCAACTAAGAGTCTCTGTTTCTGGGTTTAAAATTCTGAGTTAAAAGCGCCGACATAAATCTTCAAAATAATATCCCTGACCAATATAAATACATCAAGATGGCACAATGACAGTCAAGGTAGCCCTTCCCACTGGCGCACATTCCTGAGTTCACAAAGGTGCTGTGGAGAAATGACACAGTGTAAGTGCTGGCTGACAAATGTGAAACGAGCAATCCAGGATTCACCAAAGCCCAGGGCCCAGCCTCGCTCAGAAATTTTGTTGCCGCCTCTTCTTAGCCTCAATGGCATCCAGGATTGGCTGCCGCTTGGACTGGTACTTCTGCCGGATCTCTTCAATCTCCTGCTCCATCATGGGGTCGAGAGCCAAGAGCCTCTTCTGAAGGTCCTCCACTGTCCAACTCTTAAGCTAGAAGAAAAGTGAAATGCACAGTCACAGACTAATGGCAGAAGAGCAGAGAAGCCTAGCCTTCCCAGAGGAAAGGGAGACAGGAGGAGGATACTGTGGTCAGACCAAGTATGGGGTGGTGGTGGTTGGAGGGTGACAATTCATTGCAATAAATGGCACATCACAAAGCTGTTCTGAGACAATTCATCCCTGGAAACGTTCTGAGTACTAATCTTTTATTATTCAATGTGGTCTAAGCAAGAACTCTGCATACTTCCCTGTTCTCTATCCTTTAAATTAATAAAATATATGTTCATTGCTAGAGCATTAAAATAACAGTAACTTGCTATATGCAAACTAATGACTGCCTCTTGGTTCTTACCTAGTCTGTGAGAGAAGCACCTAGATAGTCCCTACTGCTTTCTGGATCTGTACCCCAGAGTATGGTACCAACTGAGAGACAGATGCTGTCCTCATTCCTACCTTCCCATACCCTCAATGTCCTGGCAATATCATACCCATCAGCACTGAGATCTACTGGAGCTAATTATATGTCAGGTGCCACTCTCAGTGCTACGTATCATCATCCACATGTGATGCTTAAGCATGTGGACCCAACCTTTGGGTGGTGGCAGGGGTTGGGGGATGGAGGTAGTCAGAAAAACCCTGAAACTTCTGAGATTAAGTTTCCATCCAGACAAAAAAGGACTTGATATATAAATTAATAACAGATAGCACTTACATGCTTTTTATGTGCCAGATGCCAAGTGCTTTATATACACTTATTCATTTAATCCTCATAACAGGTGATATGAGTACATTATTAACCTCATGCTACAGGTGAACGAGCCAAAGAGAAGGGTGGCTAACTAACCTACCCAATATTTCCCAGCCAGTAAGTAGCACAGCCAAGATTCAAACCCAAGTAGTATGGCTCCAGAGTCCATGCTCCACCAGTCCTCCAGAAGAACTAGCAAAGACAAGCCTCAGAGCTCAGCCTGTATTTAACACATGGCTCTGCCTCTGGCTAATGCCAGGAGACAGGCAAGTTTCCAATTTCTCAAGGTCTTCCTCAGCCACAGAAGCGGGACAATGATGTCTCATCTTGTTCATTGTAAGAATTAAATGAGATCTGGTGCCATATGTGTGGAGCATGACTACTCTTCGCTGCCAGGGGTAAGAATGAATGCCAACATTATCCACAGCAGCTTGTGATACTTCATTCTGTTGCTCTTAAGCAGTTTAAAAGGTACAGTGTATCCAGAACTCAAAGGCCTATCCAAGTCTCACAAAGAGATCTGTTGTGCCCACATTTATAAAACCATCATCTCCCTCAGCCTCCACAGTAAAGTGTTACAGAAGGTGGGTGAAGGAGCCCCTTTCCGTCCACCCTTCCTTAGGAGACGGGGTGTGAATGAGTGCTGCAGTGGCCTCCCTAGAAATGCTTGAGCGTGACCTGTCACCACAGGAATTTTCCTTGGCCAACTCCAGGGAGGTTGTCTGAGAAGTGAGAAAAACCCACCAGTTCAAGACGAAAGGTTCTTTGTAATGTGAGAATGGAAAGACTTGAGAGTATAGGGAAAGGCTGGAAACTTGAGCTTAAAAAAATGCATATGTTTTTCCAGCCTGTGGTTTTATACCACCTTGGAGATTGATGTTTTTGGCCCAGGGGCAACCCAAAGATTGATGCTGCCTAGTCTTTAGCTTTTTCAATTCCTTCTCCAAAGAGAGAACACCCCAAACCTAGTACTGAAAGTTTCTGACAACTTAATTGTTAGAATCACAGACCCTAAATCTGTATAGGCTGTGTATCCTTCAAGAAGTGAATCCACCTTTTGAGCCTCAGTCTCCTCCTCTGGAAAATAGACAACGCCAGTTCCTCACCTCTGGGCTGTAATGAGACTTCGGTGAGATCGTGGGTGTGAGCCAACCCTTGGCTCAGAGCTTCATACAGTACATATTTACAAACAGTGACCTTTCCGTAAGCGGTAGTTGTTGTTTATACTGTTGCTGTTACTACTATTATTATTGATACTCTTAGAAAGTCTTTAGTCTTCCATAAACAAGCTGTTCCTGAAACCTCTAATTGAAGCAGAATAAAACAAGTGAAAAAAAATTCTACTTTATTTTGTACTAATAATGCCTAAGGGCTGATACTTTCCCATAATGCCCATTAACTTACAGTTTAACAAAATATTTTTCATCTATCCATTTATCAAATATTCACTGAACTACTATGGGCCAGGCACCATTTGAGGCATGTAGGAGACTTCAGTGAAATAAAACAAGCTTTTATTTTACTGAGGTGAGACAAATAATAAACACAATAAATTATTGAATTATTCTCACATTAGAAGGTGATGTGTGCTTTGGAAAAAGAAAAGCAAAAACAGAATGAAGGAAGGCAATGTGAGAACTGGGAGGGCAGACTGGCTTTCCATCCACCCATTAGGATGAAAAGTAACAGTAAGTTGCTAAACTGCACTGACGTTTCAACTTGGTCTGCAACTTTGGGCAAGACCCTTCTCGACAAGGCTTGTTTCCCCATTTCTAAAAGGCAGCTAAGTAGATGGTCTCAGAGGTCTTTCCAGACTCAATATTTCTCAGTGTGAGATGTATGGATCGCCTGTATCAGAATCATTTGTTAGAAATACAGAGTCCTGAACACCAACCCAGAGTTACTTAACCAGAGTCCCTGGGAGGTGTTTACATTTTCAGAAGCAATTCCTGTATTTCTCAAAAATCCTCAAATTTGAAAAGCATGATTCTACATTTTCCTTCTTGTTGTTCTATTAGCAAAATTCTCACAAAATAAATGCTGCTTGTCTCTAGTCCAAGGCTTCATCTAGGGTTCCAATGTCTAGACAGCTTTGTTGCCTTTGATTCTAATCTGGGGCGAACAAGCACTCTTGCTTTACACTTCAGCTACCTTCAGTGTAATTTATGGCTGCCATAAGGCATTTGGGGCTTGAGTTATACCTGACCTATTAGAATACAGCAGCCAGACACTGTTGAACATTTGGTCACACTATCCAGATATGGATTTTTCTGAAAACCATGCTCAGACAATGGTTTTATGGCGCCAAGGGTAGCGTTTCACCTTCCTGGTCTCTGGTGACATAAATAAATTTTAAATGGGTATCTTTCAGTAAAATAACTGTAGTTCTACAGTTGTACGGCTGCCAACATCCTAAAGGAGCAAATTCTTAAACTAGCCATGTCAGTAGCATGAAGTATTTACCAGCTGAGGGAAATTCACGTAGGATTTGAACATCCTCTCTCTGCTGTGGTTCCCACATGTATACATCTAGGCAGAATTCTCTGAGCTCCAGATTCATGCATCCAGATCACTCAGTGGGCATCTGAGTCCCTGGTATCTCATGGAAATTTACAACTGACATTCTAGACAAAATTCCTAAATATCAACTCTCCCTCATCCCAAAACCTCTTCAACCTTACTTCTCAGTCTTCTCGACCTCAGAAATGTTCCTGATCGTTCCCATTACCTTACCACACTCCTGCTTACATCCAAACTTCAGCAATCCTATTGACTTCATTTCTAAAATAATGGTATTACTCAAGCCCAGCCATAGTTTTCTAGTTTTCTGTCTCCACCTTCATTCCCTCAGTCCAAGTCACTATCCTCTTACAGCAACAAACACACCTAAAAACATAGGAATACACCAAATCATATCACTTTTATGTCTCTTTCTTCACTCAAAATAAAATCCAAATCCCCAGGCCACATCTCTGGCCTCCACTTTCCCTTCCAATTTCATTACCTACTTACTACTCTCCCCTTTGGTCAGGGCCCTCTAGCCACACTTTATTTCTGATCCTCAAACAGGCTACACATTTTCCATCCTCAATAGCCTACAGAATTGATGATGCTTTTGCCTGGGTGGCTCATGCACAGTTCTTTCTTATCCTATGTTTTAGCTTAGATGTCAACTCCACAGAGGATGTCAGGGAGCTTTTTCTGACTATCTTCTCTAGAGAGGTTACCTTGTCTAGAGACTATTTCCTTCAAAACAATCATGTATCTCGTAATTATCTGTATTTCTTTTACTTGTTCTCTTACTAAGATGTTAGTTCTATGAAGGAATGAATGACCTTGTTTGTCTTACTCACCATGCTACACATAACCCTGGTTGAGGGATGAATGGTTAAAATACCGTTCGTTTCTAGCCACACAATAACGAAAGCCACTGAAGCCACAAGAGCAGACTTAGACTGAGTAGCGCACATGCAACCTGGTTCTGGGCTCAGAGGACTAGGTAAAGAATAAGAGGTAAGTTTTTGTCCCCAGTAAGCTTTTAAACTTAAAGGTAATTCCTGCTCAACTGTCTTTTGAAATCAAAGAAAATCTCTGCTCACTAAATATTGTTTGTTTTGTACTGGCTGATGAGAAACAGGTGTCAACTTCTGGGTCAACCATCTCTAAAAGGCATGCCAGGTTAAACTTTTTACTCAGACACAAAAGAACTACCACAAGAGAAACACCCTGGAAAGAATGAGATAATGAGAAGAATAAGAGATCCTCCTGGACAAGACAGAGTGAATGGAGCCACCTCAGAGCAACAGCTGATTAGTGGATGTGGGTTATGCTGAAGAAAACAGACCACGCACTGGGATTTCTGGTTCTCTTCCGGGGAGAAGTCACATTTTAGGAGAAATTAAAATAAGCCTCTTAATCATGGGTGTTTACCATTTCCAGACCACCTTAAGGCTACGCATAAATCAGTCCTGGATCAGTGGGAAAGGATGAGCTCTGAGCATGACAGTACCGATGTCTGTGGTTGCACCCAATGCCTGTTGTCTAATAAACACCTAGACTTTGCTTGCCATTACCTTTCACCCAGTCAGATGCTGCCTGATGTCTCTTGAAGGACGTGTGAGCAAGTAAGGCAACATATGTACAGATGAGGTTTCTCTTGAAAGACTCTATTTTAAAGTAGACCTTTTTTTTTTAGTTCAAAATTCAGCCTCACCCTGTTTTACCAGGGTACAGTGCTGAATTC